GACATCCTCGTATCTCTTTCAGACTCTGATCCCTTGCTTAGATTACAACTTCACGGGAGTTTTTGTTCTACCATTCTTTCTAATTCTCACGGTGCATGATATGTGTACTATTAACCAGCATCAATCCAGTTAATCTTTTGCGTATATGGATGAACTTCCCTTGTCAATCAAGCCCTTTATGCCGGCCTTATGGATGCCCTTATACCCGTCTTGGCGATGACCAGACTTGTGACCCCTAAACTATGTAATAGAGTATTGAGTATAAACACCCTGCGATCCGGAGTAGAAGTCCGTGTATGTCTCCCCCTTACTGATACCTATCGCCGGGAGATCGGCAGAGTGGGGTTTGAGATCCCATCAGCCCCGAGGTCATATGATTCGAGTATGAGTACGTACTTCCGCGCGTATCAGAGTGGACGGATCCACCCGCAGCCCCCTTCTGTGATCTGTCACTTCTCCCACCCGTCAGGCCGTCGATTACAAAAATCTGCCAGCTAACATCGTCATCCTATCGAGTTGCAACACCTCTCCCAAAGATCTTCAATCTTGTTATTCCTTTCGACGGTCCAGCTGTCATCGAAGAATCCGGTGACTCAAGAAGTCTTTTACTAAGCCTACAACATTCATACCCCTCCTAACCGTACAATCAGTCCCTAGTTTCTCTCCTTCGTCAAGTTCCCACCATGGCCAAATCATCAAACGATATCAGTAGTAGTGATAGTCAGCTGCAACGGTGCTCTGAGAGAACCCGTCAGGTCAGCGTTCTTGCAAGCTGTTACAGTGTGAATACTATCACCTCCGCAGTTACTGGGTTCCACTACTGCACTACTATGGGCACCGGTAAGATACTCTTTCCCCAAGGAAGGTGCCTGCTCCATCCACAGATGCTAATGTAGCACGGTACTCAGGAGCACAGTGGTATCCCTGAGGTCCCCTCAGGGTTTAAGCCGCCTTCACGTCCTCCCCTTGACTTGTCCATCATTCCCGGTATGGGAATCAGCTGGCCAGGGAACAACTTATTGGAGCATAAAGGGGAGGCAACGCATGCTATTCCGGAAGAGTGTGAGAGGCTCTTCTGCGAGCACCTGTCTGTAATATTCCTTGGTGAGAGGAGATTTACTGAGCAGGAGTCGCCTGGGATGGGTGCGTATCAAAGCCAGCCAGAAATTGTCGAGGGCATGCACACGCCGATCCAGCACTGGCTCGAAGTTCTGGATTACACAAATGACGTTACTTATCGAGGGTTTGTGACTATCACGAGTGATGGCCAACCAACCATATTCGTGTTTTTCTCTGACCAAACTTTGGGCCACGGCCTCAAGACTGGGTATGTGATCTCAAATCTGGTCGGGCCTTCATAAACCAGCACACTCATCATTCGTGCTTACTAATCTTCACCTGATGTAGTTTGGTGGCATTATTCGAGCTTGCAAGTATTAGTGCATTCCAATGCTTGCAAATTGTTGCTTGTATCCCGCGTTCGCACAATGCGGTCGAGCTCGAAATCGTAAGGAACCTTGGGTGGTGTGGTTTTAATCTAACTACCCTGCAACAATGGAGTGTTGAAAATGACCTCAATCATACATTGAGCGACAAGTGGCTCTTCTTAAGCGCCGAGGTATAATCAAAGGGACATGTCCGCTTTCTTTAGAAGTCCGAGTCTTATGATACTATGGCTACTCGTGTAGCGGTGATTTCATTTCCTCTGGTGCAGCAACCTATTTGTCTACTTTGCGTCGAGCAACACTCCTAAGGTTCCTGTTTCCTAGCATGTCCTAGTCATCTGAAATATCCGGCACCACCTGATGATGCTTGTTGGCCTACTTTTAGAAGCGATTCGAATCATTGTAGGCTCAATTGTACTCCCAGGGCTCTTACGTGCAATGGTGTGTTCGGTGGTTCCAATTGCCGCATATCGGCTCTCCTACGATACATACCTGTAATGAATCACCTTATCACGGGAATGGCTGATGTTGCGGGCGCCAAGGGACAAATGGCGGATCACGCGGAGATGACCTCAGGACTACCTATGCTATAGTTAGCATTAGCTATGAGGTAGTCAAATTTCAGAAGATATATTCTTCCAATCACCCACTGGTCCTTTTGAGTGGAGGTTCTCTGATGATACTTCTGTTGACTATACCTGCAATACAGTTGTGGTAAACGCTCCGATGTTTCCTAAGTTTCTACTTCGTCCAGGTATCTTGCGCCCCAGGCAGGTTGCAACCCAGGGACCGTCCTCTGGACTAGATCCAATACCTTGTTTAGAGGAGACGAGCAACGACACCAATAAATTCTTGATGGGCCATATGTCCTGTATCCGTTGCTCTCATTGCGCGGCCGATTTATGCTTGACATCGCAAATTATCAGCAAAGGCTTCACTGGCCGTCATGGCCGCGCGTTGCTTGTGTCTGCACGAATCATTGCCAGTGCGGTTTCTATTAGTCCATCTTCCGCAGCGACAGATTGTCTCCCAAATACCATCGTGCAAAAACCTATACCTCGACGATTAGTGACCGGTGCGCACATGGTAAGCGATCTAAATTGTGCCCTCTGTGGAGCTGTACTCGGCTGGAAATATGTCTCCGCAGAGGAGGAATCACAACGCTACAAGGTCGGCAAGTTCATACTAGAGACCGAGAAAATTACAACGTCACCATTCTGGGAGTCTGCACCGAAGGCCAATCTGCTTCTCGATCCTGAAACCTCATGCTCTGAGGAACACCGGGAAAGCTTGTCGGAAGACGTTATAGAATTCGACAGCCAGGATGAGGATGAATGCGAAGATCTCTTCGCCGCAATCTGGAGTCCTGGTCTAGCTATGCGCCGCAGAAGTCGCAAAATGGAACATTATCTTTCTAGGTTTAGACACAACCCATCATGATCAACCTCATCAACCTCAAAAGATTTACCGACCTGGGAACAAATGTGAATCCAACCAGTTTCCAAGCCAGACAACCCGCAAGAGCGACTGTATCTTGTCAGTCTTCAACTTCGTCCGGGTGTTGCACTTGCCGACCAGCTTTTGCAGTTCTACAGGGCGCAGCGTTTGTCATCACTGGTTGGGCTTTCCACCCGATGAGTACGATTTTATCTTGTCTTTTCATGCACAATGTCCTTAATCAACCGGGTATCATAATTCACTATCAACGAGACTCGGCGTCAAATTCACGTTGAGAGCTTGCATTATTGTGAGAGGTGGAGGGCGGAGCCCGTAGATACGGGCGAAATGCACGTGAGTTTAAGGAGTTCACCAGCTATTATATCGTATCCTTGAGGTCGGTCGTTCGGGCTCTTTTTGGTTCGGAGTCTTGGGTCTTATCTCCAACCATACGCCTTTTAGTCGACTCCCTAGTTTGGGGTCGAGAGGCGCTAGTAGGCTTTCGTTTCACAAATGCAGATAAGTCATTTGCATTTTCGGTGACTGCGTCAAGTCGAGCCTTTCGTTCAGAAACAGGTTGTCCTACAATTTGACCCAGGATGCCTCTAAGCATGGTGTCTTCCACATCGCTAGCTTTCAAGGATGAGGCGACAGGGCGTTGGAGGTCGACGAGCTGTTAAATAGATATGAGGGTCGAGGCTCCCAACAAAAACAGAAATGCAAGGCGGGGGCTTACCCTTTGCTCCATGTCGGAAATAATATCCTTCACATTAGCTATCTTTCTTTTCATGGCGATAGCCTTATCTTCATCCGGTGAGTCATTCATATCCAATTTCGCTTGTTCCTGGGCCATTCTGACTCGACAGCTTTCAATAGCGTGTTCCATTTGTATAATAGCCTCTTTTACCATTTCCTCATCGACCTTACCATCTTCAGTTTGGGCATCATCGTTAGCTTTGCTCACCGATGCGAATTCGAGGGCGAGGGAAAGCTTGTAATGGCATTCGGCAACGGAGGGGTCTTCCATGGGGAACAGCGACTGTCTTAAACTTAAAGCTGTCCTCAAATCTGCCACTGCATCCGCAAACCTTTCAGCTTCGAGTGAGATCTCAGCTTGTAGGTCATACGTATCAGCAAGTCGTTCTTTGAGTTGCTTGAGGCTTGAGGGTGCCTTCGCAGATTTCCCTTTCCCGGCATCCTCCTCCAATGCGTTTAGCTTCTTCTGGTACAGTATACGCGCCAGATCGAGAACCTCATAGGCATTGGCAAAGTCATCCTCCTCTTCTTCGACAAGCGGGGGATCATCTTCGTCTTCAGTATCGGAATCGTCGAAATTCTCGTCGCCTGTAAATTGAAAGTATGGTTTGCTCGTATCATCGGTCGGCTTGGCCTTGACTTCAGATCTTGGTTCTGCAGACTGCGCCTGGACGATAGCATCTTGGATGACACTCTCTGCTGTCGGTGTTGGATTGTTGGATTGAGAAGGGGGCTCGGTGGCCACCTTTGATCCAAGAACATCGCTCTTACTAACAGCAACGTTATAAAGGGCTTTCCCGTAAGCGAAGAGAAGATCAGCATTGTCGAGTGCTAGTTCGCCATTCAGTTTCGCCTGAAGCTCCGTAGCCTCGGAATAAAGCTCCGCGGCCGCGCTGTAATCTTTGATTGCGTCTTTCGCTGCAGCTTGACTGATAAGATTGTCTAAGGACGCCCGGTCATCACCGTCGCAATCTCCTCGGGGTGGGGCGACACTCAAGTCATTTGTTTCCGCCATGTTAGCTATCTTAAAGGAATTGACTATAGGTATAGATATGCTTGCAGCTCTAGTCAGCAGTGCGAAGGGAAAATCATCAGAGACATCGGATGGACAACCCATACAGAACTCAATCGGGATGCAGGATGCGATGAACTGCGCAGGGCGACTCGAGTCGCAAGGAGGGCGATAAACCAGTGAGCAAAAGACCGGGAAGGGGGACAGTTATAAGTTATCAAGTTGACTAGGGCGACTCGCCTAAGCATATAGGTCAGCGTCAAGTGGTTTCTGACTAGTTTTCCGACAAAGAGAAATAAAAGACCTCCCGCGATAAGTAATCGCGGGAAGGCGCGTGCGCCGCGCGACAACCTCGCGTCCCGCTCGGGCAAGATAGCTAGCTATCGGATTCGGTACTGAATTATTTCCACTCGCGACCATTGTGAGGACTCACATTTGAAAGACAACAACGAATCAGGGGGTATTCTAGGCATATCACGCTTTTGCTCACGAGGGTAAATCGCGATCACCCTACCGAAAGAACAGGTTGAGTTGTCTCTTGGTCTTATTGTTGCAATCGAAAGGCAGTTATCAACACTTCTTTCCCAACGCCAACATTTATCTCGAGCCCCAAGCATGGATCTGGATCCGGTCCCTTCATCGTCGCCTGGATTTGGCACTCCTGCGCACCCTTTTCGAAAGACCAGACCCAATCACGCTCCTACGCGAACCTCGATCCTTCCCATTCTACTTCCACCCTCTACTCTTCGTCCTGTGGCCTTTCGGACTTTTACGCGGAAGCACAACCTCACGATCTCATCATCTGCTCTCCAGACCTTAGCAAATTTCGTGGGAAGGAACTGTGGCTCGGGATGGCGGGAAGAGGGCCTTGCTGAACGTGTGCTGGATGAAGTTGCCAAGAGCTGGAGGAAAGCCGGAGGTGGTGTGATTGTTGATGAAGGTAAAGGGGCCTCATTGAAGGCCATCTTGCAAGTCCTGGAGGGTAATATGACTGGAGGGAGAATGGTCGCGGGGAAGAATACATCGGCACATGAGGCCACCTCAAGCCGAAGTCCAAGCTTGAACAGCAGGGGTTTGATTTCGGAGACTGTTCTTGCAGCAAACACCCTTGAAGGCGGAAAGTCCGAAGAGGCTGACTTGGCTCTACATCCAAGGCAATGGTTGAGGATTATTGAGGCATTTGATATTCCACGCTTAACATATCATGGGGATATGAAGTATTTCGAGATTGCTAAATCAAAGCCCTCACTCTTTCCATCGCCGTCTCATAAAACTGCCTTTTTCAGAGACCGCTACAACATCGTTCACCAACGGCTCCTTCGGAACGAGTCATTTCAAAAATCAGCAGGGTTGTCTAGTCAGTCGGTATCACAGCGAACATCAACCGGCTACAAACTGACGCCGGTCGCAAATCTGCTGGGAAGAAGCGGGACTTCCCACCTAATCCTTGGCTTACTCTCAGTGTCACCCACCGGGGAGCTCTCTCTAAGTGACCAAACCGGAAGTATTGTTCTTGATCTGAGTCATGGGCGAATTGTCCCGGAAGATGGTTCTTGGCTTGCCCCTGGCATGTTTGCTCTTGTAGATGGGGTCTACGAAGAGGAAGCACATGTTAAGGGATCTTCACTCGGTGGTAATTCTGGCGTTGGTGGAGCCATCGGAGGGAAATTCATAGGCCTTTCTATTTGTGGGCCTCCATGTGAGCGCCGCGACATCACCTTGGGAACAAGCAACCGACAACGCAATAGTGAAATCAGCTCAAGCGGAGGTCTGGGCTGGGTAGACTTCCTAGGGGTTGGGAGTGAGCGGGCACAAGGCCCACGCATGAGACAAATCCAGTCTCAATATTTAGAGAATGTTCACGACAATGCTGAAGATGGTCGCCGACTCAAGATGGCGATCATGAGTGAGGTCAACCTTGACGACATGGGGACTTTGGATGCCTTGAAAAAGGTTTTTGGCTACTACAGCAGCCTTAATGTGGTCGAACTTCCGGTAGCATTCGTCCTTATCGGAAATTTTGTGCAAAAAGCAATAATCAACAGCAGTGGCCAGGCAGGCAGTATCGAGTACAAAGAATACTTTGATGCATTATCCTTGACACTCTCTGAGTTTCCCCTGCTGCTACAGCATTCGACCTTCGTTTTCGTCCCAGGTGACAATGATCCATGGTCGTCAGCTTTTTCAGCTGGTGCTGCTTCCACATTACCGCGCCATGCTATTCCCGAGTTGTTCACTACTAGGGTGAGACGTGCGTTTGCCGCAGCAAATTCACATGTGGATCGCTCCAAGACGTCTGAGCCGCCTGGCGAAGCAGTATGGACTTCTAATCCTGCGCGTATGACACTGTTCGGACCTCTCCATGACATCGCCATATTTCGAGATGACATATCGAGTAGACTTCGACGCAGCGCAATCAAGGTCGGCCCAGGCGACATGACTGACACTAATGGGAACAGTGGCTTGAAAGTCGAAGATCAGCCAGCTCCTCAAGCTCAATACACGTCTACTGATGCCAATGCAATGCCTTCTGCAACTTCGATTGCTCGAAAGCTTGTCAAGACCATCCTAGATCAAGGAAACTTGTCGCCTTTCCCACTCTCTCTGCGACCCGTTCTCTGGGACTATGCGTCTTCACTTCAGCTATATCCACTGCCAACCGCGCTGATCTTGGCTGACCCAGAATCTGTTCCATTTTGCATGACGTACGAAGGCTGCCATGTCATGAACCCAGGAAGGGTTGTTTCAGGAAGTGGTCTTACTTGCGTTCAATGGATAGAATATGACGCTCTCAAAAACCGGGGACGGGTTAGAGAAGAGCGTTACTAGTCATCTTTTCGCTAGAGCACAAATGCGACACCTTAGCGACTTATAATTCTGGGAATGATACTCTAGCCACCGAATTACCATTAGTCCGGTTAGGATGTCACCAGGCAATAGAATTTTCCCGAACCCAATGAGGCAGGAGAACATTCCTTGTCGGATAAGGCAATGACGCGATGTGGGCTCACCTTCACTTCCATTTATCACATCATACTTGGAGACCAATGTTGAATTCTGCTGAAGTCTCACGCTGTAGAACACTCATCGGACTTAACCCGCATTGGAAGCATAAACCTGGGGTTAACTACCACAAAATTCCAAGAGGAATGTGGAAGCGAATAAACAAGATACAGCATACGAGATTCACAAATAGAAGCACAATCCATAAAGGTACTTCGAGGCATTTATATATGAAGTGGACTGATAAAGATATGGACATGTGCAAATATGGGTTCCATTTCAGAAGCCTCTATTCTAGTCGATCATGATGACATCTGCAGTGTTTGAAGCAACACTGGCAGAGTGTTGAGTTGTCCTTTCCTGCAAATGAGCGGGACGTGACGAATCCTGGCGTACTGGTTTCGTTGCCACTCCCGAGGCAACCGCTCTGAGCGCCGTAGCTTGCGTGGGCGTGATGGTCGATAATTCCCTGGTACCAGCTTTATTCAAAGAAGGATTGGGAACGGAGGCAGCAATGCATCTGTGAAGTTCCCCCAAAAGATTCCCAACCCGGTCAACTTGTGCAATTACACCATTTCCAAGCCCTCTCCAGCCATCGCCTTTGGAATCATACAGAGACTGCTGTACCTTGGACATAGAATTGACCTGGTCGGAACTAGACTCGGAGCTGTTCACGTTTCTGAGCACCCACACTAGGCGGTTCGAACGTATCCTGGCAACCAATCGAAAGTGCAAATTTGCATCAGGATAGTGAATAGCATACGTCATGGCGTTGCGCACCGTCACCTGCACCTTTAAGGACTCGTTGCGAGAAGTGTTATCCATTATATGATCCAAAGCTCGCATTAAAGGTAATGTGCTTGTCAGGAGTTCAGCAATGGACTCCATGCTGGCCTCAGCTGAAGTACGATTCAGGCTAGATGCAAGAGATCCCTGGATTCGACGATGGGGGTTTGTGGAGTCAAATCTTATGCCGAGCTGCAAGCGGAAGATCGAATCAGACCTGGTCGCAAGCTCGGCCGCATCGGCCTCTGAAAGAGGGGGGTTTCTTTTGATGTCAACCTCCAGCCTGGCAGCTAAGTCCCTTTCAGGTCCATAGGTGAAGGAGATGCCAGACAGCGATATTGACGTGACCTCTATCTTCTTCCGTTGCAAGGTATCCAGAATAGATAACACACATTCGAGTCTCTGTAGATCTTCAACGAGACCAATGATGACTGGTCGACCTGTTGGCGCAAGTAGACGAATTGCAAAGCCGTTATGGCTCTCTTGAAACACTAAAGAGCGGTCACACTTGGATATGAGGGCACTGAAAGCTTTCACAGGAATATTTAATCGTCCGTAGGCCCCAATTATGGCGAGATTTGCCTGTGAATCAATACCAAGGAATGTAAGACGAATGGTTTCTCTGATGAAACCTTTCTGCCTTATTCCTGCAGGCAGAACTAAGCGTAAGGCGTTGGGAAGCTTGGCAGGTTCATATCGAAGTGAAATGTCTGGAATCTGGAAGCCAGCCTCGATTCTCAGCTTGTGCGCAGGAGGACATGATTGGATTGCGTCTAGGTCGGCCAGATAACGGGAGTTGGCATATATTGTAAGAATTCCTGATAGACTGTGCACAAGATTCGCAAAGGACATATAACTCTTTTCAAGCTGAGATGAGATGAAAGTGTTGCTGACGACCTGAGCCAAACGAAAAGCGGGCCGGCTGCCGACATTGACATCGTATGCTGAATGTCTTGTGGCTACGACCCCCGGTCGAAGCTGAACAAGCCACCAGTTATCACCATCCATGCTGCTCGTTGCTGCTACAATCCAGTTTCGCTCCCAAGATTTGTGGCTGAAGAAGGAGAAGCGCAGAACGTTCAATGGAAAGACTCTGCGAACGTCTATATTCAATATCCTTGGGTTTATCACGTCGAAGCCTAGCATTTGCAAATAGCATTCGACTTCTTCTATAGCTGCAATGCACCGGAGGCGTGCAACACGGGTGACAATGTCATCGACAGCAGGTTTTTCTGCTAGCCGATCATTGTCAGGCCGCTCCAAGATATTGGGCGTAGTGGAAAAGACGTTCGCTCCTGACATCGGCTCCACAGAAACCCTGAGGTATCTGGTTTCCGTGAGTTGAACATCGAGTAGGCAGTTACCGGGCTCAGTGGTTGTGAGCTGGGCTCGTAAGGACAACGTGCTGGTTGAATACAGTAAGCTTTGACTTATGCTGTGATAAGCCGAGGAGACGGTATGAGATACGTGCAACGCGATAACACTTCGAAGTAACCGTTCCATAGAAATGTTCGCCGTGTCAAAATCAATCAACCCAGAATTGACTTCTTCTCCATCTTTTATCCAGCGCAACCCTAGGTAGGGTGGCACAGGGCTCCCGTGAATAGATCCGCGACGGCCGCTATTGATCCCGATTTCTAACCAGCTCTTGCTACCAGGCTTCCGTGCCCAATAGTGAACAACAACCGTTCGATGTAGCAGCTCGATGCGCAATACATCAGCCCAGAGTCCCCTTGCCATGTCGGTGGCTTGTTTGAAGAGGACATTGATCTTGTTCGTAAGAACCAGATTATGTAATAGATCGAAACAGCCAGGCAAGCCGCGAGTCTGAAGTACATCATTGACTTTGGACTCAAGCTTGTTGTATATTCGACCTTTGGGGATTGGTGACGATGGATGGAAGAGGAAGCGAATGTCGACGAAAAAAAATTGTGACAACCCACTTCCTTCTCCAATGGACAGGTCAAGCTCAAATTCAGTAGGTACGATAAAAGTGACTCGACCGTCATGAATGCTGTAAGTTTGAAAGGAAGGAGGAAGCTCATCATGCAGCGCAAGTCGGGTACATAGTAATCTGTTGATTTTTTGTAGCTTCCTTAGAGCTCTTCTCGGCGTTAGAAGCTTGGGAGGCTTGTAACCGAGCTGGCACACCGCATGTTAGATTGGGGCATTAGTTTCAGGCACAAGTAACTTACGGTAAGCATGGACGCCACTCTTCCCTTGGATAATACCTCAAGGGACGTCCTGATATCCGGATTGGCCACCTGGGCTCGAACGAGGTCTTTCTTCATCTCTCCAATCCATTGTAGCGCTCCTGTGTATGCTTGGTGACGTGTACGTATAAAATTCTGGATGTCGATCAGCTTGCTGACATCTGCAGCTTGTCGACCCCATTGAGAGAGAACGAGAAGCTTGATGAAGTCGGCACGTTTAGCGTGAGCAAATTCGAGCACACGGAGCTTCTTCTGTATATTCTCAGACGACTGGTTCCCCGGTGGCTTTCCCGCGATGGGGACTGATGCATATACTGGGTCATTGGGAGCCACCTGGATTTCTGCGAGTTCCGTGATCAAATCAAGTAGATCGTTCCAGCATTGTTGAGCTGATCTATTGAGTAAGATCGAAAAGGGAAAGAATCCTTGCGTCACATGTGGTAGCTCTGGTAGTTCCCTCGTTTTTGCTAGCACGGCTGTGACGGTCGATGCGTCCGTGCGATAAGCGGAACCCTTCTCCAGGCCGGCTGCGTAGAGAGAGCCGTTTTGAACAATAGCAGAGCCTTTCATTGGCGCCTTCTCCTCGGCAGAACAAGATACACCATTCTGCGAGTCATTGGGTGATCCCTTCATCTGTCCGCCGATATTGGCAGTGTCCATGACTACGCCCGGCATGTTCCAGAAGACATAAGCCGGATCTCAGTCGCTCTAAGCCCTCCCCTTCTCACCCTCTGCACGAGAAAAGGGGAGTAATCTGATGTAGGACTGTGCCTCTTCAAAGCAGCCAAAGCTGATGCAAGAAGGGATGCAGAATTGCGGAATACGGATGGATGGCCACAAGTCAAACCGGAGGTCTGGTATATAGCCTACATATGAGTATCACCATCGACCGAAGCAAAGGTGTTGAACGTATCGCAATGGATATATAATCTGCAGCTTCGTAGAATCGCAAGCCAACGTAGGCGCAGGTGGATTCGGTGCTTGGGCCGCGAGCTTATTCCATCCAAACAAGGAGAATCGAATGCTCAAAGAGTGGATCTTTTCAATGGTTGGCTGATATTACCAGCTACTATGTGGTGTTGTTAAAGGCAGTGGTTTTCGCAACGGAATCGGTGTCCAAGATTGTGAGGAGCAACTGCGACACAAGCACTGGCTGATCGAATCACGATAAAAATGGCGTATAGAACGGAGACCGAATTATCGATCTGGGAGCGGGGAGGGGAAGATTTGCGTATGAGACAGTACGAGTTGATAACCTATGGCGAGATTAAAACATATTTTGTATATCGAAACTGCGGTGGACTAGGACACTCCAGTCAGAGGATTGATATTCCGGTAAGAAAACAAGGCAAAGTGATTGATAAATGAAGCCGGCGCGATGCGCTGCAAATGCACGAGCCCAGGTCCAGCCTCAGTTGGCTCAGCGGTCGCCGGAGTTACGTAATCCCATGGATCCCAGCAACTTTTCCCCAAGCAGGACTAGTGTACTACTATGGTATACTCAGCGCCCCGTACACCAGTGCTCTCCTTATGTTGTTGCGGAGCGCGTGTCGGTTGCAGCAGTACTGCTGGTTTTGCACTTGGACTATCAGACAGACAATTTCCCTCCCTATGCTATCTCTGTAATCTGGAGACTTCGTCTGCTACCGCAGTAAAAAGACTACTTACTACATTATTGTATATCATGAGTCTATAACACCCCCATCATTCTCCTTTGGCTACGTTTGAGATTCCCTCACACCTCTGAGAGCTTCAACTTGGATCACAGTAGGCACAGCGCGATATCGATTCGAACGCGGGTGATCAACAAAGAGATCATTCGACCTGTCTTGTCCGGACTAGCTGCTGCGAGTGATCATCCATCGTGGTCTGCTCAGCTCAGTGTTAACGAGAATACAGAGACTGTATTGGCTCCTGACAAAGTGAAATAACTCCTGTTATCTTTATCTGCTACATACGCTGCTTCTGGAGACGTCTTGGGCCATCATGCAGGGATATCATGGGGGTAGGAGTGATCCTCCCCAATACCCCCGTGAAGATACACGGCCTACTAGTAAGAAAGAGCTTGCTGGCTGGTACAGCTATGGTTGGGCTGCAGAGGTTTTCGCTGTATGTGCCATGGGTATGTTTTGAACCGAGGCATTATTGAAAAGTTGCATATCCTGATTGATGGTTCTTTCAAAGGGTCGTTTCTCCCCATTACTTTAGAGCAAATGGCTAGGGAACGTGGTGTCCTTCTATCGGACCAGACAATCCCATGTAGTGCAAGTTGGAATCACCCACAAAACCAGGCACAATCGGCCCTTGTGTATGTGCGACCTGGGGCAGCCACTGTAGCTCAATGCGTGGTTAATATTCTAGGATTACAAGTGAACACTGCAAGCTTCGCTATGTATACTTTCTCGGTGAGTGTCTTTGTTCAGGCTATCTTCATTGTGTCTATGTCGGGCGCCGCAGACCATGGGAATCATCGCAAGATGCTTCTAGTGCTTTTTGCTTTGGCCGGCTCCGTTGCCACAATGCTCTTCCTTGCGATATCGCCGCGAGTTTACATCCTGGCTGCGCTGTCTGCGATTGTAGCCAATACCTGCTTTGGGGCCTCTTTCGTGCTTCTCAATTCGTTCCTGCCTTTGTTAGTCCGCCACCACTCTTCCTTGCTCAAAAGAGATGCGGCTAGCCCTTTCAGGCCTATCGCCCCAAACGGTAGCTACACCGACGTCCAGGTCCCAGCATCTGCCCCCCCGCATGAAGTTCGGGAGACAACTCCGCTGGTTCAATCCAGTCGGCTGCATCATCTAGCAGATCGCAAACTGGTCTCTATAAAGAATAACCAGGAACTCGAGCTGTCCTCCAAAATCTCTTCTTATGGGATCGGCATTGGCTATATTGGCGCAGTGATATTACAAGGACTATGCATCGCCGTGGTCTTTGCGACTAGGCAAACTACTTTCTCGCTGCGTCTTGTTCTCTTTCTGATCGGACTCTGGTGGTTTCTCTTCACGATTCCTGCTGCGATATGGCTGCGTTCTCGACCAGGACCACCTCTATCCCATGTCTCGCACAGCAAGAACCATCGCGCGTGGGGTGGCTATGTTGCATATGCCTGGAAGTCTCTCCTCCGGACAGCAATGCGTACTCGGCATCTGAAAGATATTCTATTGTTTCTTGCTTCGTGGTTTCTTCTCAGTGACGGGATCGCAACAGTGAGTGGGACGGCCGTGCTATTCGCTAAAACCCAACTCGGTATGCAGCCTGCTGCATTGGGCCTGATCAACGTGGTTGCAATGGCAGCAGGTGTATTCGGTGCATTCTCTTGGGGCTATATTGCGCGGTTCTTTGGCCTGTGTGCATCACAAATCATCATTCTATGCATTCTGCTGCTTGAGATTGTGCCGCTCTATGGACTTCTAGGATTTATTCCAGCCGTTAAGGAATTGGGTTTCTTGGGTCTCCAACAGCCATGGGAGATGTATGTGCTGGCCATAGTCTACGGGCTTGTCATGGGAGGACTGTCTTCCTATTGCCGAAGTTTCTTCGGGCAATTAATTCCTCCAGGCTACGAAGCGGCTTTCTACGCGCTTTATGCCATCACTGACAAAGGATCCAGCATCTTTGGCCCGATGGTTGTTGGACTCGTTACGGATCGATATGGTGACATAAGACCCGCATTCGTCTTTCTTGCCATACTGATCTTGTTTCCATTGCCTCTTATGTTGCTTGTCGACGTTGACCGTGGGAAACGAGATGCTCTGGCACTCGCAACTGAATTAGAAGGTGAAAGGGGGGTACAGTCGCTCGGTTCTGGAACGAATTCACACGTCTCCACTCACAGTGAACGACCAGTCATGCAAAGTGAGTGAGCCATGGAGGGTGGAACAATGTCTTTCGTAGCAGCATTGGGATAGTTGTGTATTTCATCTTGTCTCCTGGTCTCCTCCGCTTCCTTGTGCCTGAATAGTGAGTCTTGAGTATGATCTCTCGTTTTATTTTTTGGTGTGGGCTAGAGCCCCTTGTCGAAAGCTCGATATAGGTTCTCCAGACACGTCGATTCTGTCCCAATAAGAACGTACCTCTGCACAAGTAAAGATAAGGTTGCATCACACAGTGTGTTGGATTGATGTCTTCTGCTGGGCTCTTACAAAATCGACGTACCGTTCCAACTTGGGAATAGATGGAGAGCACCGCATCGGTGGCATGTTGCTAAGGGGCTAATCGCCCTGTATACAGGTGTACTGAACAGTACCTTGACTTTTTCCGACCGAAGTTACGAGTACCTACGAGTACTCCGTAGTTACCATTCCGTTGCAATATTACTTGCAATGCCGCAAAATGCCTACTATACAATTCAGGTACCACTAGCTTGGTCCCTTGCTGTGTTAAGCGGGGCCGTTTGAACCAGTCAGCATCCTCAAGCGGCAGCTTACTGCAGAAAGAACAGACTGTCCTTAACTCCGTTCCCCATACTTCACAAACACTATTTAAGTCTTTAAATACCAAGCACTCATTATCCACCCTGTACACTGTCAACTTCCTTCCTTTCCAGTCGCCAGCCCGAGGCAGCCTAGCACCTTCAGTCTTCCATTGGAGCCCGGCGTCGTCGCCCACATTAGCTGGAGTATAGGAAGGCTTTCCGTTTCTGACTTCACCCGAGCTTCATACTACCGCCAGCCATCTCAGCCAACATGCGATCTCTCGCCCCCTTGGCTCTCAGCCTCCTCGGCGCATCAAGCGTAGTGTACGCTGCGGACGCTGCGGATGTCGAGTCTGATGTCATCTCACTGAACACGGACACGTTCGAAAGCTTCATGACGGAACATGATCTGGTGCTTGCAGAATTCTTTGCGCCCTGGTGTGGCCACTGCAAGGCTCTCGCTCCCAAGTATGAGGAAGCGGCTGCAGAGTTGAAGGCAAAGGATATTCCTTTGGTAAAGATTGACTGCACTGTAGAGGAGGATCTGTGTCGGAGTCAGGGCGTTGAGGGCTACCCGACTTTGAAGATCTTCCGTGGACCCGACTCGAGCAAGCCTTACCAAGGTGCGCGTCAAGCAGAATCGTGAGTTCACCTCAGTACTTCCCTGTCATCGTTCTTCTCCGTTATCTTGAGAGTGAGGGAAATAACAGATTCTTACTTACCTTCAAACTATCAGCATTGTGTCCTACATGATCAAGCAATCTCTCCCTGCCGTGTCACCTGTTGATGGTGAGAATCTTGAAGAGATCAAGACTATGGACAAGATCGTCGTCATCGGTTACATTGATCCGGAAGATAAAACGACACATGACGCATTCGAGGCCTTTGCCGAATCCCAGAGGGATAATTACCTCTTCGCGGAAGCAAGTGACCCTGCCATCGCCAAGGTGGAGGGTGTCGAACAGCCGGCTTTTGTTCTCTACAAGGACTTCGATGAGAAAAAGGCAGTTTTTGATGGCGAAATTGACCAACAGGCTCTACTTGGCTGGGTAAAGACCGCTAGCACTCCCCTTGTGGGCGAAATCGGACCCGAGACCTACTCTGGGTACATCACAGTAAGTGGATTGCCCGAGAGTTCCAGTCAATCCAAAGCCTGCTCTTCCAAAGGTGGGCTTGTGTGTCCCGTCCCACTGATCAATATTCTCGAAGGCCGGCATTCCCCTCGCATACATTTTCGCCGAAACCAAGGAAGAGCGGGAACAGTTCACGGAGGGTTTCAAGCCGATCGCGGAGAAGCACAGAGGCTCTATCAACATCGCTACTATTGATGCCAAGATGTTCGGTGCGCATGCAGGAAACCTCAACCTCGATCCCCAGAACTTCCCTGCCTTTGCCATTCAAGATCCTGCGAAGAATGCCAAGTACCCGTATGACCAGTCCAAGGAACTCAAGGTGGAAGATTTAGAGATCTTTATTCAAGACGTTCTTCATGGCAAGATCGAGCCTAGCATCAAGTCAGAGCCTATCCCGGAGACTCAGGATGGCCCAGTGACCGTTGTTGTGGCACACTCTTATAAGGAGCTTGTTGTTGATAACGACAAGGACGTTCTTCTAGAGTTTTATGCGCCATGGTGCGGGCACTGCAAAGCGTATGTTATCTCCTACTTTGTTTCCATATTTGCCAAGCGGACACAACTGACCAGATTCGACAGTCTTGCTCCGAAGTACGATGAGCTTGCTAGTCTTTATGTCAACAACCCTGACCTTGCGGCCAAGGTTACTGTCGCCAAAATTGATGCGACAGCCAACGATGTCCCTGACCCTATCACTGGTTTCCCGACAATCAGACTGTACCCAGCCGGCGCCAAGAATTCTCCAATTGAGTATGAAGGGTCCCGCACAGTTGAGGACCTCGCCAACTTCATTTTTGAGAATGGTAAGCACAAGGTTGATGCCTATGCTAAGCCTGAGGAGCAGCAGGGAGATGCGGACGTCACCACTCCCCCTGTTGCAGCTCCCACTGAAGACGAGGCCCCGGAAGTTGCCAAAGAAGAAGCGGTGGAGCATGATGAACTCTAATTGTTTTGGAAGTTCCTGGTCCCTCTAATGAATTGTATCTTATTATTCTCAATCTAGCCTGTCCCTCTCCGTTTCCGCTCTAGCTTATATCTCTTTTCTCACATACGTATCTGATAAGGTTGATCTGGCGTCTTTTCCTAACCGCCAGACCAAGGAAGTCTGGTAATGCAAGGCCTATGGGACACAGAACTTTCACATTTTACATGTCTCGGTGTATGGGGCTCATATTTTGAGGGCAGGTATACATTAGTGCGTACGTAGCTGGGAGTCAAACCAGTCTATCATTGATTTCCTCTTGATTTCTATTTCCGACCCCGTCTCGGAACGACGTAACCTAATCCTAGAGCTACCCTAGGGAATAAGTTCAATGATCAGCACATTGAAGCATCTACGCACGTGCCCCTGGTGCCATACGAGCGCAAATGCGTGCCTTAAAATCACACGACTTGTTGTATTGCGACCCCACATTTTATCAACTGTCACCCTGAAATTATCAATTCAATTATGGCGAGTACTTATGAATAACCTGTGACTCTTACCTAGAGGTATTCGGGCCAATAAAGCATCAGAGATATAGAATGCGTCGTTCTTCCTGACGCTCAAGTGGTTGAGTCTGCTGCCGCCAGTACCTCCAATGCATCTAGATCCTCATCGAACTCATCGGCTTTCTCGGTCGGGATGGGGGTTTTCGAGTCATGATGAGACACTTGCTCGTAATGAGCATTGGGTAATTTCACCGCTAGATCCTCACAACCATTTGCCTCATGTGGAGCAGGGCCTTGAATATTGGTGAGGGGATTATTTGCCTTATTCTTGGAGCTTAGACTCCAGTCGATTGTCTCGCCTGGGCCATACCGATCGGATAGCCAATCATTGCATTTCTTGAAATGTTGGTTGGTGAACTGTAGCCACAAAAATAATCAGCAAGGCTTTCTGCGCCTGTATGTCCGAAATGCTGACTCACAAAGCCTCTAGATGCGCTTAATGGACTTGGATGAACTGATTGCAAGACGCAGTGCTTCTCTCTGTTGATGCCTGCCACCCGTTTGCCGGCCGGCGTCCCCCATGCTAAGAACACAACGCCACGAGTACGAACCCGGGCCACCAAGTCGATGACTTTCTGAGTGAATTGTTCCCAACCTTTGTTCGAGTGACTGGCAGCCTGATGTGCACGGACAGTCAAGCATGTATTGAGAAGAAGTACTCCCCGTTCAGCCCAAGGAGTCAAAAGGCCGCCTTTGTTCGGTGGTCGCTGGAAGGAAGGGTAGTCATTCTTGATCCCCGTATAGATATTGACGAGGGATGGGGGAGCTGGTGTTGGCGGGCGGACGGAAAAAGCCAAACCATGAGCTTGGTTATGATTGTGATAGGGATCCTGCCCGATCACTACTGCTTTGACCTTGTGCAGAGGGGTATGGCGGGACCTAAAGCTGTATTAGTTGGAAAATGCTATTTGACATCTGAGGCTTAAACCACACCAAGAGTAAATTTCCTGTTCTGGGGGGAAAATCTTAGCTCCCGATCGCTTTTCCTTCTGCAGAAAGCGCTTCAAAGCTAGGAATTCCGGCTTCAATACCTCGTCCTTGAGTTGTGCCAACCAACTCTCATCTAGAGTATCAATTTCAAGTTGAAGGAGCTCTCTCTGCTCGGGGTTTAATGACGCCACCCATTTCTGCTTATCGAAGTTGGACGAGGCCCTGGTCGGAGGCATAGTTTCGACCAAGACTGAGGGCTTTGGAACACTGAAGAAAGAAGTTATGCTACCGTTGACCCTGGACTTCTTTCGATCTGCGGCTGGGTCTTTCAGATGATCCGCATCTCGTTTCGTACCCGCCTGACCGGCCATACTGCAATTGGGTTTGCGTGTTCACAGAGAGCGAGTAGACCCCGAAGATAGTATGTGGTAGGGAGAGGGTGAATGACCAATGGTCGATGGCAACGGCAATGGCAAGGAGATCCAGATAGGAGGGTTGAAACGAGAGAGAGAATGGAGCTAGCTCAGGGGGCACTTGTGGCATCACCAGCTCTTACGCATTAACTGGGGCGAATAGACTGGCAAGGGCTGGGATAATAGCAGTATAAATGTGATGCTTTTATGATCAGCTGCAGACCGAGCATAATTAACGACAACTCCGAGGAAACAAGCACGCGTCGTGGTCGCGCGCGAGTTTCACGCGTCCTCGGAAATGAAACACCAGCCGAGTCGGGCTGACTGACGTTTGACCGTTCGGGTTCGGGTTGGACTTAGCCTTGCAGGAGAATGAATTGCTATGGACACCAGCAGTAATTTCAGACCTATACTCCGTACACCGGAAGCCAATGTGGTAACTAAGTACTATGTGTACTATATCTATCTCAATTAACTTGATACTCATCCTTGAAGATTCATCTGTTTAAAAACATCTTAGCTTAAAGGACTGCTACTGCTACTAGAGTGAGTAGATTTTTCTCTCTTCTTAACAGAATAGGTACAATTTAGTAGTTAGTTACTGGAGTAAGGTTATAAGTTGATGGTTGTTCTATGGATTTGTTCTGTACTGTATATAACATCATATAAATTACAGTATTGGGTACACCACAGTATATGTCAACTTTAAACCTAGACTAACATTTGCACAGTGATGTCTGCAGGTTTCCTCCCCCCCCTCCCAACCTTTCCCCCTATAGCAGGAATTCGTTGAAGCTTTGCTATTAATCTTTTCAGACAAGGTCGTACGGAGAGAATCTAGTAATAGTCTGAGACTCGTATCGGCTAGGTCCTTTTTTTTACTCTCGACATAGGCCCGGCGGGTATGTACGCCTTGCGTACCGATCATATCCCACCGAGATAGGCTATACTTATACCCTTGGTAGGTTATGTGTCATATAGGATAAGTCAACAAGATATGGAACTTATCTGGCTCGCTGATATACCACAAGGTAGACGACGCAGTAGGGCTTTGCGAGCATGTGTCCACTGTCAGAGAAAAAAGGTGTGAGAGATCCCCGTTTGACCTCATACAACTCACATGCCATGACGAAAGCATATGCTGAGCTATAGATACATGTGCTCATAATTCCATTTAGAAACGGTGCCATCATCTTGTCACAGAGACTGTTGTTAACCTGCAAAGCAATCAACGCCGTGAAGGCACCGTGGCAGTTCCTGAGGTACCCCAAAGAGAGCAACAGCCCTAGGACCGTGTTGCCCAATTGCTTCTTGTTGATACCAATTCATCTACAACAGTGACAACGGCCCAGACAACATCTATCACACCGATTCTCCACAAAAGCTCACACACAGAACGCTTTGTTGGAGATTTAAACCCAGAAGCCGTAATACATGAGAAATTAGATTTCGCCAACGGAATTCAGCTGCGAGACCGAATTGGCCTCTGGGTCAGTTCTTCTTCTGTTCAAACTTGTGAAGAGCATATATCTCACTCCGAATCTACGCCGGCTCATGATGCCCCCGGCCACCACAGCCCCGGGGCGCGATCGACTGCTTCTTTATTACACCAGCAGTCTAAACCTGCATTGAAGGCCTGTGAGCGTTTGCCCGATTCGACGCGAAATCATCTTCTACCCATCTATTTCACTAAACTCAATCATATGTTACCCCTTGTCGACCCAGATTGCCTGCTTTCAGCTCATGCTCGAGATTCGATATCTGTGTTCCTAGAACGCGCAGTATGTCTCGTAGCAGCTAAAGATCGCGCAGCCGAACCTTATCTTCGCCTATGTGAAGAAGTTCAGGTTATGACTTCCCGTCAATTCTGCTCTGAGATATACGGTGAACTTGTGAATGCCATGAATGTCGGCCTGGAAGCCGACAGGATCACCCGCATCCATATTCTGACGCTCATGTCTCTGCATTGCGAAGGCTATGAAGGCGCCGAATCAGCCTCGATGCATCTTTGCCAGGCAATTCACCAGGCTCAGACAGTGGGCCTACATCTTTATCGTCCTGGTCGGAGGCCGGAGGATTCTCTACCGAGTCTCTTTTGGTGCTTATGGACTTTGGACAGAATGCATGCCTGCTTAGGCGGCCGACCCGTTTTTATGTCTGAACGTGACATCGGAATTGGAAAACCTCGAGTTGATCATTTTGCAACAAAATCAGCTTTCGACATATGGTTTGCGATCTCGGATTTACGATCAACGGTGATCTCGTTCTACAGACCAGCTTCGGATCACACGGTTGGATGGGAAGCAGATTTACCACGTTTGAGAGCATCACAGGGGATCGGTGTTCCGACTTGGACTTTGCTACTTTAGGTATGTTCTGTTCAGATCAGATGTCATATTACAGAGTGATCACACGGACAGATAGAAGCCATTCTTATGGGCAATTGCTAATAGCAGCAAAGGTCTTCTTGAGCTGTATTACCATGCTGTCGGCATCCTTTCCTGCAGATACAGATTATCGCATCCTGCAGATTTGTCGAAACCTTCGTATGTTCGTCAGGGTCTTGCCGCAGTCCGGATTCATTCCATTGTGGCCACAGAATGCTCCGGAAGTCTACCACCACTGCCCATTATTCCTTATGCCATAACGCTATCTATGGGTGTTTCGTACCAGCAATTTCGCTCAAGCAAACTCATTACTCACCTCAATCAAGCCAGGGCCGGCCTAGAAGCTTCCTGTGTTCTGCTCGAGAGAGTAAGTGCCTATTGGTCAGCCGCAGAGGCGATGGGCCGACTGGGACGAAAGGCACTTCATCAGCGGATCGACATTTCGAACCCTAAATATCAGCTGCACGATCATGAAAATGAGCAATCGCTAGACCTACCGAGCGTCTGCACTCCGCGGTCTTCGGGAAAGACCATGCCCGTCTTGTTGCCATCTTCCTCTAATGCTGGGCAGGGCATATATACGGATATCTTGTTGCCTATGTACAGTACACACAACCGCAGCCAACACCCAATGCTTTGGAGGTGTAAAACATCAGCAGCACCGATCCTGAGTGCAGCCGATTCGCTGATATAGACTTTTTATTCGGGGAGTTCCTCGACTTTTCTCTTCCCACTAATTCTTTGGATCCTGTTTTTCTAAGCTCGGAATAGCCAGAGGCATGACACCGCACAGCAAGGGAGCATTGACTCGGCGATCATAGTCTATAAAAATGACTCTGTGGAAAAGGTGGTTGTTCTCGGGGGTTCAGGCTTGGCATTTTGGAATCCACTTATCCACTATCCAGGCACGCCTTTCAACATGCCGAAGTATTCTCGTTAGCGAACTGCCGGTCGTCATCAGTGTGGAAGGCCGAGCACTAACTTAGTGCCGTCTCAGTGATAAGGACCCAGCTTGTACCAGGATCCCTAGGATTGCGTTTCATAGGTGACAGTTGCCAACACATGGTGACCGGGATCTGGTAGTGGCCGTGCCAACTCAGGAAGTGTATGCACGCGATGTATGCATACATCTCATGATTGGAAGTATGGTTATTAGCATTATAGTAGTGAACAGATAAATTATCATATGGTCTGTGTCCGCGAGTCTCAGGTGAAGTCTAGACCCATCCCCCGCCCCTTTTCGCCTTCACACACTAGAGAAGAATACGGGAGACTTTGAAAGAACTTATTGGAGGAACTGTCGGCTGATTTGTCCACCGGGCCTTTCGCATGTAAAGTAAATTCAGATGTGACTGTTGTCCTTTTGAGTTACCTTCGTTATTCTTCCTTGTTTCGTTTATAAATTGAGAAGCCACTCCACCACCACCTTCTCCTCGGATCCTTCTCTCCCTTCTACTACTTCTGCACACCTCAGCGACTTGTACGATTTGGATCGCCCATAATTCAGAATTTTCAAGATTTCAGTCCGAGAAACACCTGTGCTAGCCAATGACGAAAACCATTTATCAAACTGCATGAGTTAACACTTTCTGCCCAATCTACCAATCTATCGTTGCGCTGGCTGCAAAGAGTCTCGTAAACGACAAAACAGCTCTCTCTGCTATCGAATCCTCCACCAGGGTGTCGAAAGGCCCGTTCCTTGCCAACGGCTTCTCTCACCAAATTTCCCGGCTTCTTCTTTTGTTCGTCGTTTACTTTCTGATCCTCGGAGTGCCACTCCTTGCCATCCATTCAACGCCTGCCTGCCCTTCCGGTCGTCGTGCAGATTTCAGCGCCGAGCTGTTCTACAGCTTGAATTGCAATGGGTTCCTCCAATCTGGCTGCACTGTCGGATGGGGTATAGCCTCCACATCTCACCTGAATTTCGATCTGTAGAGCCAATAGTTCTCCACAATCGCCACAGTCGTTCCTCCTGCGAAACGTAAATGAATGTTTTGGATTGAGCTGTGCACCTAGACAAGCGTGCGAATCTTTATGGCCGGCGTGGTCGCAAAGCGAGGGAATCAGGCCGCCTCGGGTGCTGGTGCCCCTTCTCCGGGACGAGGAGGCTGCATCGCATCCGGCCAAAGGCATACCGGCCAGTTTTCCTTGCACCCAATACCCCAATTGCAGGGTCCCTTTGAAGAATCGATTGCGGAGGCCCGCCATACAGCACGATGGGACGCAGTCGAGCTTGACGCTCAAACTAGACGCCGAGATCTCCTTGAGACACCCAAATATGAACGGCTCTGTGGTCGTAAATGGCGCCAAAGAGCCGATGAACGGTAAGTAATCGAGCCACAGTCGCCACAAACGCTATTCAGTGACACGGCATGCTGAATTGTGGCAGGTATCATCCACTCTGGAAGCTTACCGCGCAAATGTCTTTTGGCGTTCATCTCCTTGTTAGAGGATTGGCCAAGTCAGATGTGGAGGTTTTGAGAATTCTTCAATCCCATGTGGATGAAGTGGATGGATTCTTGGGGAGAACTGCGGAGGATTTTTCCATCATACAGCTTGATGTGCGCACACGCATACAGTACCTTAGTCTACCTCTGGAAAACCTAGGTGTTTTCGATGAGATGCTTGGGGACCGTAGCTTTCGTCTCTCCATCACTGATTATAACGAGAGGATTGAACATGCAATCGAAAGATTCACAATCGCAGTCCAGGACGCCTTGAAGGATATAAAGAAAGGACGGGAAGCGATCGGTGCCCTCTGGAGATACCTTTTCGAATCGGCGAACGAGAACGGCCCAATGCCGGGTAGATTGGTAGCGATCTATAATGCCATGCTATCAAACGCAGAGGGCTGGAACAGTGCATTCTTAGAGCTCGAGCGCAAAGGCGTGGCCCTCCAATATGCACTTGGTCAGCTCGGCTTGGCTATAACTGAAATGCAGCGGCGTGTCGGTGTGGCAAGTCGAAAGTCCGTGGTCAGTATCGAAATGTACCATGACGCCCAAAGCTTTGAGTCTTAACACAAATATAGGTTTCCTTCGCACAGCGCTCCAACCGGCTTCTGCGAGGACGATCGCTCAAAGAACGAGTATTTGAAAAGGACTCAAGCGCCGGAACCTGTTCTCCCATATCATACAAACCTCTGCCTCGTGCACCAGACCTTCCGCAACCAGCGCCTGATTTGAGGCCGAATGAACGCCGAAGGTTGATGCAGAAAAGTGTTCCAAACTTGCGAGCGGCCGGAAGAAGTACGGGAGAAAGCGCTTCCCAGATGATGGACCGAGCAGCGTCCGTCGGTGCAGTGACGGACAGAAAGGCCTCTAAAGTATTCGTCCCCAGCATTCGGCGCAATGTAGTGACGCTCTCGAAATCCATATCGAAGCCGACGGAACCTAAAGACCAGTCAGTCCAGAGACCATCCACAGCGCCATCCAGGGCGTCAAGGGCACGGAGTATCTCTCTGGATCACCTCAAATTCTTGCATAAAAGCCGGAAACGCGAAGGAGAATCAGCACCTGTCCCAGCCGAACACTCCCCTATGCCACACGTATCATTGAGGCGGGAGACGATGAAAGCCCAATTGCTGCAGTTCTTCAGGTCTGACCGCGTGCAGGATGCTTGGGAGACTGCAGCACGCAATGAGAACGAGGCTACTGTTGAGAATAGTTCCGGGCTCAAGAAGGACGGACCGTGGAGCAAATTTCAAATGGCATCGTCCAAGAATACCGGTGCGGCGCATGGAACCCATCTCGACGTTCTCGAGCCAACCTCCGCCGAAGACATGGCATGGCTTCCGAAAAAGGACTTGGAAACGCTCAACACCTACTCACTCAAGCCAAAATCCAATATAGCGCCTCGCTTCCACTTGTTCCCCGCCCAGACAAGCCTGCCTCAAGAGATGAAGGCGCTCAAGATCAGGGGTACCGCCTACGAGAGTCTCGGAAAGCAAAAAGAAACCTTGCAACCGGTGATTACAGCCCTTCCTTCGATACTCGGGCCAGAGGCACACAAAGCGGACTTGCATCAAATCTCAGCTGCGCAACAATGAACATGATATTCCCCTGTGATGTCTCAACCGTGGATCGACTGAAGTTCAGGAGGATTGCTTGTTTTCAGGATGGAATGACCGATGCCACAGGCTGTTAAGGTGCGTGATACGCCGAGGGTGCCGAGTGGGGCCCGCCATGAATACAGCCTTCGTTACAACGTTAAAAGATTTATGATGGGCGGAGTTTGAGTTTTAAAGATCATACACCTCCTGTGCGTACGCGGCGGAGTCTTGTAAATTTGGTACACAACCATAGCAACAGCCGATTGATGAAATCAACGAAAATAGAATTTCGAGTTATACGGTAATTACCAGATAGAGAAAGCACCAGACCAATTCGTAGAAGGTACCGCAATAATGACCTTCGGACATCTTGTAATAAACCTGAAGACAGATAGTACAGGGATAACAGGCGGACAATCTTACTTACACCGCTTCTCAACGATGTTAGGACCATGCTCCTCGAACTCCTTCCTCGAGATCCATAGCTGGTGGAAAGTTCCGAGACTGGCCAGAATACTTCCACCGATCCAAGAGCCGAATTTTCGTTCTGCGGTGTTTCCTGGGGCTGAGATACGCACGCGCGGCCCTGGGTACATCTGCATTAACTCTTGGTTCAAGCGGTCTGTGAAACCATAGAGCAAGCTTGAGGCGCCTGTCACAACAACATTCGCCAAGAGGTGTGGGCGAACGTCCACATCAACGCCATTCAGTGCATTCTTGATCAACTCGGGCACGGTCTGCGCCTGTGTGGCTGGTGGGAAAATCGATTCAGGGTCCGGAATCGCGGCCTTGGCGTCAAAGAGCGACTCGACGACTCGATAACGATCGACACCAAAGACCTGATTATAGCCGTCAGGAAACTCGAAAGGCCGCCCGGGACTGGTTTTGGCAAGGTCTTCGTTCAAAACTCCATTTGGACCCGTTCCAGAAAGCTTATTGGGCCCAGGCCAAACCTGGACCACGCATTCCTTAAATTCGCACAGCGTGCGCTCCTCGAGTAAAGTGCGGTAGCTAGCATGTGGAGCCTTCTCAGGTGAAAAAGTCTTGTACTTGGCTTGTGGAGGCTGTCCGGCATCCACAGCAATTTTGGAGGAAATGAGATAATGGGGTGTTATGGTGATTGGTTGCGGTGCATTCGTCTTGAAGAGAGCGCGGAGCTGCGACGAGATATATTCTCCTCCAAGAGGGGAATGCTGAACTCCTCGCTTCAGAATCATCCCATCATGAACCGGAGTGATAGATATATTGGAAGCACCGATGTCGATAACCAATGCAGAGGCTTTGCCGGCCGCGAAGCTAGAAATGGGAAGTCAAGTCAACAGATTAGATCGCGGTAGATGTTGGCGGCAGATGACTTACGCTGCGAGAACGCCATTCCTCGCTAGATAGAAGGCTGGAGTGCCCCATTTCTCCATAGCAATCTCAATGGTCTTCTCGCGAGCCTTTGTGGGGTTCCAACCAGGTTCCGACATCAACAACGGGCTGTCCGCGAGAGGCTTTTCTTCGGTTTCCAAACCCTCCATTTCCGTAGGCAGCTCGTTGTCTGGAGTGTCATTCAATCCGTTCTGTAAGGGATTTCCAGGTCTGGGTCCTGCGAGGCGCGAGGTGAATGAATATTCCCATACTTTCTCGGCCATGTCCCAGTCTTCTACTATCCCGTCCCGGCCCATGGGATTGTGGACTGAAAGACCAGGACGGGGGGTGACGAAGACATCATCCCCGAATATCAACTTTTCCTGACTATCGTAGGTGTATTTGCCGTAATACGTCGGGATTAATGATTTCGGCGTATCCTCACCAGCGAATCCAGCGCGTGTTGTGGAATAGCCCGGGTCAAGTACGATCGCAGAAACCTCATCTGTCCATGTGCCGTGGTCAGCCAGCTATTTCGTTTCTGCTCGGTCATCATTGGCGCAAAATCCAGACTCTTAGCAATTTGCAGCGATGATTTACGACATACCTCCGCCGTATTCGGCTGTTGAGGGTGGAATGGATGGGTTCATGGCCGAAGGTCAAGGAAGGGCACAGCTTGTTCGGGTGAAGAAGTGGGCGTAACGGTAGCTTGGAGCGAAATTGGCTCGGTTCAATGCGTGCCACAAGAAGGAAAGAAGGTAGTTAGAAAGAGGTCATAGAAAAGCCAACTACTTCTGGAGGCCGAGAGGCTTTTGATGGAGGGGGAATGAATGTATCGCACGGCTGGCGGGAAATGAATGGTGATTGCATTGAAGGAATGAATAATCGCCGCGCTTGCCCCCGGCGCCGCAGCTGGTACCCGCCAGCGCAAAACGCCATCAACTCAACATCAACCACTAGCAACATCATCATCGTCGTCGTCGTTGTCATCATCTCCAATATCATATATACATCCTTTCTTCCTTGTTCTGGTATATGAACAATCTTGGAACTGGTCATAATTTGCTTATGCGACTATGGATACTGAGATCAATCCGACCTCTCTCTTCCGCCCAGTGAAGAAGAGAAAGTTCCTGCGACGCCGACCGGGGGACAGCTTAGAGGATGCGCAGGGTACCACCGCGGAGGTTTATGGCCAGCCATCGGACGGACTATCCTCCCTGCCTCAGTCGGATGGGTTGGATACGAGCCTTAATTTAGATGCTGCTCGTCTTCGGCGGTTACAACGGGCTCGCAAAGGGGGAATTGAATTCTCAACCGCCTCGCGGCCAACGTCGAAAGACGATAAGCAGAAAAATATCACATGCACGACGGCCGAGAACATGGAGAGTGAGAGATTGCAAGCGATGTCTGATCGGTTCACGGCGCATACAGGGCAGATGGTGGACGTTGACAAGCATATGTACGAACGTACCCTTTCTATTCCATCTGCCCATGATTGTTACCGGTTGGCGATGTTGGCTAACGAGATAAGGATGGCTTACATAGAATCCGAAATGGCCAAGCGTCATCGAGGCAGCGTGCCAGCCGAGGACGTTCGCGACAGCTCGGCCTCAACAACCACAGCGACAGCTGCCCCGTCGATGGCTGACCTACCACAACGTGAACCGGCCTCACTGGGTAAACTACATGAGATTGACCTTGGTCAGGAGTCTAAATTGCAAAACATCGCTCGGACTGAAGCGGCTACCAGAAAGCTCGCTGGGAACGATAATGACCTGGCGCTTGCGACAGAAAGCGGCTCCAAGGCGACACATTCAGGAAAGGAGCAGAGGCCATGGCGCAACCGGAAGCGACGAACCAGCGAGGACGTGGAACGAGATCGACTGGTTGAAGAGATTCTACGAGAGAGTAAATGTGAGTTTTCATTTCATAGTGTGAAATCTTCTGATCTTGAGATCTTACTCTATCTTAGTGGACGTCTATGATGGCCCATTAGAGGGCGAGGAAAATGAGGCAGGAGACGCAGATGGTCAAGCCGCCGACGATAGGGTGGCAGAGCAATTCCGAAAAGATTTCCTTGATGCCATTCAGTCCCGTCGTCGGGTGGCGCGAGCGAGAAATACGAAATCTACCAAGACCGAAGCCCCCCGAGGGCCGAAGTTAGGGGGCAGTCGAAGTGCTCGAGCTGCTATGCGTGAGATGCAGGAAAAATCAGGACGGAAATGAGCTTTTGCTACGAAACTATTAATTTTGCATTGGGAGAGGGGCAGGATACATCACAGCGCGTAGTACTTAGCAGTAATGATAAAACTAGGAAATGAGCAAATGAGATCGACCAGTGGATCACCTATATTCGGTACTTTATTGACATCCCCGCCGCACCACTCTTCAACCACTTCGCCCCTCCCGCCAATTTTCCTCTACACTTTGCCTTCCGTGCACAATGGCTACATTGCATGCTGCACATTGGGCCACCTCCCTCACTCCCTCCTCACTCCCTCCTGGCGTCCTCAATGCAGCCGCCCGAAGTTTTTACAATTGGGTGGGTTGCGCGGTTGGTGGCAGCAATCACCCCGCTGTTTCCATCGCACGCAACTCCCTTTCCCGCTTCTTTGGCGCCCCAACTTCGACCTTATTAGGCTCTGAGGGACTTCAGGTGGATGCGCAGCATGCAGCTTTGATCAATGGTATCGCGTCGCACGTCCATGATTATGATGACACGCATCTAGAAACCATCATTCATCCGACGGGGCCTGTGGCGGCTGCCCTTCTGAGTATCGCCCAGTCGCTCGATCGACCAGTATCGGGCGCTGAATTTCTCACTGCCCTTGCTGCCGGGATTGAACTCGAGTGCAAGATTGGCCTGGCAGTCTGGCCGAGCCACTACGACGTGGGCTGGTGAGTGTGGCCCTGATAAATCCTACGTAGTAAGTCAACTAAGCGGTTGTCTGATCAGGCATATCACTGGCTCCACTGGATCCATTGGGGCAGCCGTAGCGGTGTCGCGCCTCATGAGTCTCTCCCCAGAGAAGACAGCCCATGCAATTGGTATTGCTGCCACTCAAGTAACCGGCCTGCGCGAAATGTTTGGGTCGCACACCAAATCCTTCCATCCGGGCCGGGCAGCCCAGAACGGACTTTTGGCCGCTATCCTGGCATCAGACGGGTATACCAGCTCCGTGCAGGCCTTGGAGGCTAAGCGAGGCTGGGTACAGGTCACTAGCCATGATAATAGGCTGGAAGAACAGATGGCTAGATTGCAAGCAGGAGATCAATGGGAACTCGAGAAAAACACCTTCAAGCCTTTCCCTTGCGGTATCGTCAAACATCCGGTCATCGATGGTTGCATCTGGCTGCATGGCGAGTTGCGCAGAAGGAGGCTACCGCTCGAAGCTCTAAACAAGATCCAAGTCACTGTTCATCCATTGGTATTGGAATTGACCGGCAAAACTCAACCTGTTGATGGGCTGCAGGCAAAATTCAGTGTTTATCATGGCGGGGCAGTTGCTCTGATATATGGCAAGGTAACGCCAGCGCAATACGAGGACGCAGTCGTAACCGATCCCGACACAATCCGAATGCGCGAGAAAATTGTTGTTACAGTAGCGGAAACTATTCGCACGGACGAATGCCAGATTGTAGCCGAGCTTGGGGCGGGCGATAATACTATTGTACGACACGTGGACCATGCCGTTGGCAGTCTCGATGCGCCGATGACCGACTGTCAACTAATGGAAAAATTCACCGATCAGTGCATTCCCATCTTAGGATCAGAACAGACAAAGAAGGCCAGTGACTGGTGCTGGAATATAGCGGCAAAGGAGGACATCCGAGAAATTGGACGTTTCCTTTAAATTTGCCGCCACCTAGAGGTTACAACCTTGTGTACAAAATAGGACCTCATCAGCACATACTGGTAGGAAAGCTGCAGCTGCATGCTCCAGATAATCTCTACTCCAATCTTCTGTTCAATATCGAGGGTGGGATCATTTGTTATTTGTTCTGGCCCTTGATTCAAGCAATATCTCAGCCTGGATTGTACCGAGTGACTGGGTGAATGGAGTTGTTCCCGACAGAGTCCCTGGGATTGTATACTACTCCCTGATCAACTGAGTCACTCAATACAATTTACCAAAAACTTCATTTAGTGATTGGGGGCCCAAAAAAATAGAAATCATGACTTAGATAATTCTATCTGGGGACCAAGAGATTCTTCATAACTTTGATTTCTAGCAAAATTCGGGCCATCGCGCTGAAATATAATTCAGCTGGCCAAGCAGAGTATGTGAAAGCTTTTATTGGCCTTCAAGTGGACAGGAACCTGTCTGTATCCATTCCGTATATCACCCTACAGGGCCTACACCCACGTGGATGCACCTGTTTCTGTCAACGTGGAAATAATGAGCTTTCTTCGTGTTGAACTACTATGGAGTACCGTAGTCCGTGTTAGGGTCGAAGCAATGAGAAGTAGCCGTAAGATTAATATAGGCATGGTTTAATTTCCTCGCTCGTGTCATAGAGATGATGAAAGGCGGTCTTTCCTCTCCCCCTTCCTCAAAAGGCCAAGCTTCACTCTCTAAGCCCCCCGAAGGACATGATGGTCCACCTCGTTCTACCACTTAAGCGAAGCTTCAGCGCTAGACCAAAATCATGATAGTCGATGGCGATGAAGTAGTCGTACGTATAACATTGATGCAGGGTCGGACCCGCGATTGATCGATCATGTAAAGCCATAGAGAAGAGTAACTTAATGCATTCTGCCTGGTCTGCTTGACTCCTTGTCTGGTAGACTAGAAAGTAACAAGTCGTCACTGCCTGAGGTTACTAGGTACAGTACGGAGTACATTATTTATTAAAAATTGTTTCCTGCGGAGGCTTGTCGCCGAAATGCGTGGGACGGGTGTGGCCCAAGTCTGGCTGTCTACGGAGTACGTTTGGCTCATTGTCCGGGACACTGGGGCGATTTCAGGACGGTGGGGCTGGGCGGCAGCCTGGAGGCTTTCAATTGTTTCTTTGTTTGTCCCAGAGAAGTGAGAGAGGTTGGTTGTTGGTTGGTTGGAGTTTATTTGGCTGGTTGTCTTTCGACTCGGCAGTACGGAGCACCTGAGGTAGTCACCGTAGTCTACTAACTGATTATGAGTAACTTATCTTCTCTTTGTCAGGTGGTTAAGTAGTTCTTGATTCACCCCCCCCACCCCCCTTTTTTTCTCTCTCTCTCTTCTCTACCCCCTTTATGCTTTATGCCATCTCTCTCGCGGCTAAGTCAACATGGGGAGAGAATACCTTCCTTCTATTAGCAAAGAGTTGCATATCGATAGCCCCCATTATTGATGACCTATCGTCACTTAACTATCCATATCTGTATTGACAATTACGCTAATGAGTGGGAGGAGTGGTCTGGAAAGAGTCTAGAGTCTAGACTGGGATGGGCACCATTGCCAGTGCCAGCAACGGGCTGAACAATTGGGCCCGTTCCCGACCCGTCACTGACACCAACCAAGAACCGTGGTTGGTATTGTGTTAAAAGGAAGAAGAGAGAGAGAAGAAGAAAGGGGGAGAGAGGTGGGGGGGCGGAGGGGGTTCGGGAATGAATTTATATTTAGCATTATGGAGGAAGTTAATCCTCAGTAAATCATGTTCCTCAGTACTACCCAAGTAGATAATCTGTAAACTGGGAAATCATCTCGAAAATATTCTACAGGATTTCATTGCCACTCTCCGGCAATTTGAACTTCAAATTGAGTCAATCAGTACCTAGTAGTAAGGTACCTAGCTGTAGGTAGTAGGTACTGTACCTCAATTACCTGAACCAACAAACCAGGAGCGAAGTTTGACTAATCTTGATTCAGTACAGTGGGGGGGCGGCTGCCACCAGCCTATCAGTAGCCCATGTTTCAGCTTTGCAGCCCCTGGCTAATACTAATCAGGCTCTAGTGGCTCATCCCGCTCCGCCCGCTCGGGCGCTTCAATATCCAGTCATGCTAATCTCGGTGTAAGAAACTACCAGGTACATCCATGATACCTAATAATGGTACGCTTCTCTCCAATACTCCGTAGTACTGTACATACATACCTACTTGTAGTACTCGTAGTACTTGTAGTACTCGTAAGTTCAGTGAGTCTAGTGTACAGTACCGAAGTTTACTATGTAGTTGTCTAGTCAAACTGTAATTATTATTATCAGAGTTGTAGCAATCTCTCTACTCTCTTTCTTCCTACTCTTCCTTTCTTTCCCCTCCTCTCCTCCCTCTCTCTCCCCTTTACCGTTTGCTTGCTTGTCTCCATCTTACCCACCTTCCCATCCCACACACTCATTACTGCTAGCCTATACGTTTTCTCTTTCTTTTGCACTCTTTTGCACTCTTTTGCACACTTTTTCTTTCTCTGTCTTCTGCTTTCGCTTTGTCTGCTTTCGCCTTGGTCATCATTGACCACAATCATTTCCCTTTGGACATTCTTTTGCTTTGTCTTGCTCTTGCTCTTGCTCTTGCTCTTGCTCTTGCTCTTGCTCTTGCTCTTGCTCTTGCTCTTGCTCTCGCTCTCGCTCCATCCCATTGCTCACCACTCTTTCTCACCTGCTGCCTCGGAAGAATTAAGCAAGTTTTGATCAGACCTCAGCTAGTGCTCTTGTGAGGTGCTGCGAGATCTCTCTAGCAAGCTAACGCGGCCTTTGTTATCATAACTGCTTGACCTGCAAGAGATAAGGTGGTCTAGTAAGTGTGGGTTCTCAGGCACTGTCTTGCTGTTCATTTAGTCCTTAAGACTCCTATCCCACCATTCATCGCCGACCTGATCTTCAGTCCTTGTTGCTGTCCTTCCGTTCTGTCCAGGTTGATCCTGTTGACCCCTCGGAGACATTCATTCATATCAAGTCGCTGTGCGATTTGACCGAATTACGGCTTCGTCACATATCTTATTTTAATGGTCGCCGCCTCGACTGGCTTCACCAATATTGACACCATCTTAGCGCAAGAACTAGAAGTTCTTGATGTTAGCGTTTTGAGTTCCGGAATCCGACGAATTGTGCTATTGGTCAATCAAAATGCGGACCACTCTCGTTTCACATATCACGATCACTACCTTGGGCTTGTGGGCTTCTCAGACGCTCGCTGCGGACACATTGAGTACTAATGGGTTGTCAACATGCCTGACGGATTCGGCCATTGAAGTCAATAATCTTGATGTTACGTACACCAAATCAACAAACGAACTCGTTTATAATGTCGGCGGTACCAATGCGAAAGAACAGAATGTTACTGGCTCAATTACAATCTATGCGTACGGCAATCAACTCTACTCAAAAACATTCGATCCCTGTGGCACCGAGTATTACACGGCAGCCCTGTGTCCCGTGCCGGCCGGCAGCTTTCAAGCCCAGGGACAGATGCAGGTTCCTGATTCCATTGCCAGTCAAATCCCCTCCATCGCATTCGCTATTCCGGATCTGGATGGCCAAGTGAAGCTTGAGTTGCTGTCGAAGGATAACAACGATGACGAGCTGGCTTGCATCCAAACAGAGTTAAGTAACGGCAAGACGATGCAGATTGCAGGTGTCTCTTATGCTGCTGCTGGCGTAGCCGGGGCGGCCTTAGCCGTGAGCGGGTTGTCCGCTCTAGGTGCTGCTGGTCACCCTGGAGCTTCATCATCCAGCCCATCTTTCGGCGATGTTATGACTTGGTTCCACACCATGGCAACTAATGGTATGCTTAGCGTCAATTATCCTACGGTCTACCGCAGCTTTTCCAAGAACTTTGCCTTCAGCACAGGCCTCATCCCGTGGGGCCAGATGCAGGAGTCCATTGATAGCTTCCGCAGGGTAACTGGCGGAAATCTGACGGAAAACAGCTACGAATATCTCTTAAACGCCACCCTGGTGTATTCAAGCGGCTCCACGTCAAACTCAAGTAGCAAGTCGAAGCGTGCTCTCGACTGGACTGTTGGTGCTGCGAACCTCGTCGCCCGCGAACTCACGACGTCCAACTCCACTACCACCAACAGTACCACCAACAGTACCACCAACAGTACCAGCAGTAGCAGTGGATTGCAACACATGGTATCGGGAATTGAGGCCTATGCAGAGCAATTGACTGTGCCTCAGGGGAATACCTTTATGACTGTGCTGCTTATCTTCGCCATCCTCATTGCCGCCATCACCGTGGGAATTTTGCTCCTCAAGGTCATCCTTGAAGTATGGGCTTTGTATGGGTCTTTCCCTCAGAAGCTCTCCAACTTTCGCAAGGACTATTGGGGTCTCCTCGGGCGGACAATCACCAATTTAATCTTGATTCTATATGGGATCTGGGTCATCTGGTGTGTCTACCAACTCAGCAGCGGAGATTCCTGGGCCGCAAAAATTCTGGCTGCCGTTGCTCTGGTTGTATTCACAGCTGTGCTCCTGTTCTTCGGACTTCGGATTGCTTATCTGGCACGGAAGTTCAGAAAATCTGAAGGCGACGCATCTCGCTTGTACGATGATAGCGAAACCTGGCGCAAGTACAGTCTTTTCTACGACAATTACAAGAAGGATTATTGGTGGATATTCGTACCCGCGATTGTATATATGTTCGCTAAGGGGTGCATTATCGCGGCGGGTAATGGCCATGGGCTGGCGCAAAGTGCGGGCCAGCTTATCGTTGAGGCGCTTATGTTGGTCATGCTACTGTGGAATCGACCCTACGTTGTGAAGTCGAGCCAATGGATTAACACCAGTGTGCAAGTAGTACGCGTTCTGTCGGTTGTTCTTGTTTTGGTGTTTGTGGATGAGCTCGGCCTATCAGAGACAACCAAGACGGTCACCGGAATTGTTCTCATCGCGGTCCAGGCTGGCTTCACCGGCATCTTGGCCATTCTCATTTGTGTCAACGCGATTCTCCTCTGCTGTCGTGAGAATCCTCATGCGAAGCGGAGACGAGAGGCCGGTAAGTCGCTACAATTCCGAACACTGGGCCTAATTACAACTGTATATGCTAATCGTCTTAATTTGCTCTTACAGACAAAATGAATCGTGACATGGACGATCTGACCCCCTTGGACGCCCGCGAGTCTCTCCTGATGGACAACCCTCCTCGTAAGGATTACGCCGAGATGAGCAAATTCAATTTTACCGGTCCCTACGAGCCCTATCGTGACCAGTTCGATCACAAAGGGCGGCAGAGTCCCACTGGGAGTATGGATCGATTAGTTGGGTCTGGCTATAACCCTGAAGAGCAACACGATCGTGCTGTAAGCCGTGAGAGTCGGCGGAGCCGTGACAGTCATGATGCTCCTGAAAGACACCATGCCACTACCCCCGGCTATGGGTTCGCTTACTGATCCTCCCTGTAGGATAAATTGGGGTTACGATTTGTTGTTATATTCTTTTCTCCCGGCGTAAAACTCTTTCTTGGACATAGATTTTTTTGTGTCAGTTTCCAACAAATTTAGCGTACTTTTGTTGTGGTGGTGGTGGTGGTGGTGGTTTACACTTGCTTCTAGTTTCCTTGCTGTTTAGCTCCCTCCACCATCTTTACCTCCCAAAGGTCTGTTGTTTGAACCATATCCGGAAAATCGGTCTTGATAGTCCTGCCTATTTCAAGCACCGACCCTAAGCATATACTACGGGTTGCCTTCTTTCCATGTAGGCTGTGTCTCCAAAGAGGTGACACTGCCACCAAGCTGGGCCCGGCTCTGTTCTACCATTCCGATATCGAGACTCTGATGCTCTCAGGCTACCAGATTGGCTACGCATAATTTAAATACGCACAGAAGACTCGTTCCACCGCAGAAACCCAGTGTTTTGTTACATAAAGCGATAGCAAGACAGGATTGAGAACAGAATAAAGACCATAGCAATCCATGCCAGATGCGATGCACAATTTGGATTAGTTCGCACGCACACACTGCGAGAGAAAAAAACAATGAGAGGAAGAGAGTGTAAGAGATACAGTACGAAGCGTCAAAAAAGGGGGCAGGGAAGAAGAAAAGATAGGCAACAATAATAGGGCGTGGCCATACATTTTTCGAGGTTTTTGTAGTATCAAATGTCACTATTGCTGCTGGAGGATCATGCCATTCTGGATTGGTGACCAGCGAGAGTAGCTGAGGGTCCTTTACGTCGCGTTGAATAGAAAGGGCGGAAGGGCACCAGCAAGGAATCTGACTGATTTATGAAGATCCCAAGGGGAAGGTAGCATTGGAGACTGCGCGCACATGTACAAGCCTGTGGAAAGGAAAGGCACAAGGACCGAAGGAAGAAAAACCAAGTCCTCAACCGCGCGAGTAAGGGTGAAAGCCCCGGTGACCTCCACGGCCTCCACCGCGATAGTTGGCGCCTGGCTTGCCGGCATTCTTCGGGCCTGTCGGAGCATTGGCTGGGGCAGCACTTTGAGGTTGCGGAGTTGGACCTTTATGTTTCGGTGTTAGCATATTCGGGCAGACAAGGCAAATGACAGGCAGGACCTGGGGATGGCAGGATAGGAAAAGACATACCGCGTCCCATGCTCCCCGCGCGGGTCATGGCCTGGGGCCCGGTCGGGATGTTCGGCTGAGGTACTTCATCATACATACCTTCCCAAGAAGTTGGCCCACCTTGTTGGTAGGGAGAGAAAGCCCGGTTTTCCATGGCTCGGCGTGCCTGTTGCTGCTCGTACTTTTGTTGCTCGAAGGCGATTTGTTCCTGAGCATTGTAGCCAGGTCCACCGCGATGACTCGAGTAATTCCCATTGGCGTTAGCTGCGGCCATGTTCATTCCATTGCCCCCACCCCCCATCTGACCGGACATGCCTCCAGAGCTGCTGCCTTGACCTTGATTCTGCATCTGCTGCATCTGCTGCATCTGCTGTATCATGGCGGGATTCATCATGTTCGGTGCCATAGTTTGGGGCGTTGAGCTCTGCGACGGAGGGCTCAGACTCTCTTGTGGTGCTTGATTGTTCCCCATTTGCATTTGCTGCATCTGTTTCATTTGTTGCATCTGTTGCATCATGGCTGGGTTCATGCCGCCCATACCCATGCCGCCCATGCCTTGACCTTGAGCCGCAGCAACGGCCATTTGCTGTTGCATCAAGGCAAAGTACTGCTGCATCCTCTGCCAATACTGTGCCATCATCTGGGGGGTGAGTCCACCAGCCATGCTGCCTTGGCCTTGAGCCACGGCTTGTGGTTGCGAACCATCGCTTCCCATTGCGCCACCGTCACGGAAACCCTCCCTGCCACGGCGGAATCGGCGGTCTTCCTCATCCCGCAGATTTCCTCTTGGTTGGGCTTTTTTCACCTCAATGGGCTTCCCGAGGATTTCCAGAGGACGGGAGAGAGCTGCTTCGACGGCCGCTTCACTGTCAAAGGTCACGAATCCGAAGCCACGGGGACGACCAGTATCCTTGTCAATCATCAGGGTGGCATCAATCACACGCCCAAATTGGGTGAAAAATTCTCTGAAGTCGTGTTCGTTTGCCTCTTGGCTCACGCCACCAACAAATATTTTACTGGTTTTCTCCTGCTCGTCACGTGGGATTGCACGCTTGGGATCGATCTGCCACATAATGGTCAGTAGGATCTTCATAACAAGTACGGGAAGGAATGTGCGACGGAGGCTCTTACAATCTTGCCATCCAAATAGTGTTCCTTAACCATGACGGTATTGACGGTCTTCGGGTCTCTGAATGTCAAAAATCCAAATCCTCTGGAGCGACCCGTAGCACTGTCTCGCATCACAGTGCATTCTTGTACTTCCCCAAACTGAGAGAAGTAATCTTTCAGGGACTCTAATCGAATTTGTCAGATAACCTATGCGCGACGAGAGCAGCCGCAGCCAGCCAAGGGAAAGTACATACGATCCGTAGTCTCCCAGTTCAAACCACCAATGAACATTTTCCTGGCCATGACACGATTAGCAAAAGCTGTATTGCAAACTCTCAAGCATTAAACGCTATGAAGAACATTTGAGAAACAACAGATAATCCAGAAAAAACGACAAAGGAGATGACAGGCCCGGCGGTGGGCCATTGACTGCTGCGAGGGACGGGGTAGGATGATCTGCTCCATTCGTTGCAGCTTGATGATTCTTGATGCAGTGAAGGGACTTTATCAAGAGATGCTAGCTGCATAGGAGTGAGTATTGGCCGGCACACGGCTTGTCATTGGACACGAGCCGATTTATTCTTGCTGTCTCTCTGTCACTATGGCAGAAGCATCGACTGAACCCAGAAGGACGTTGAGAGTTTGGAAAAAAGACCCCAATATCGTGGGTCGGTCTGGGCCATCAATACATTGCCAGGGATCTCCTTGTCCAAGACAATCACTATGTCTCCTAATCAGGAAGCAACACTGGTTTACAACACCATCCAGTGAGATGAAGACCAAACGCGGTTTCCAGCATCGAAAAGGTATGCGGGTAGTGTCACCACAGGTTGGAGCATGTGAGGCGGATGGATTAAGTCCATTTTCTTTCCCTTCTTAACTGTCTGTCTGTCTGTCTGTCTGTCTGTCTGTCTGTCTGTCTGTCTGTCTGTCTGTCTGTCTGTCTGTCTGTCTGTCTGTCTGTCTGTCTGTTTGGCCATAGAGTCTTTTGCCTGTCTGTCTAATCAAGTCCGAAGCTAGGTAATCTGTTCGAGAACCTTCCAAACTAGACAGTCAAGGCCTCATTCCTTGCTGTGCTCTATCATGATATATCGACATGAAGCTATATAGTATCGGATGTACTATAATCGCTCGTAGCACGGCCTCAAAAGCTAGGGACCCGAGCACTGTCTTCCTGAGTCTTATATCGTTGCCGTATCGCCGATAGATCTCTCACACGAGCCTCGTAACGTGGCGGTGAGCACTGGACGAAATTCAACATCGCCAGCGAGGATATCCTCTTAATATCAAATTTTCTTGTTCAAGGCCGAGATCTCTTTTCCATCCAGAAACCACGATCGACCCAGAACAGGAGAAATCCTTGACTGAGATGATAGAACCTGACCCTTTCGTACACAGCACCAGGAAACCGGAACTCAATCGACATTGAGCACGAGCCATTGTTGGGGCTGAATGGGAGCCCGATGAGTAGTGTGTAGGAGTCGCTCATGTCTCGCTTGAAATATGAGGCCCGCGCAGTGGCAACATTCAGACACTGGCAAATCCCCTCTGGATGACTGAGGATAAGACGAGGAATGAGGAAGGGGGGTGAGAAGCATTTTTGAGACTGTGATCACCCAAGTCACAGGCGCAATGAAGAGTGCATGATACGAATAAAACACGATGTAGGGATCTTCGACTGAAAATTGTACTCACCCGTCTTCTTTGATTCCGGTCCCTTGAGGCTCGGAGTCGCCCACTGGAGTTGCCGAAAGATTCGGAAAGCCAGCGCCGCCATTTTCTCCTCCCACATGATTGCCAGACTGGTGGGAATATTGATAGGATCCGCCCACTTCGGCATCACCATGGTGCTGATCCGCATATTGCGTATGAGGTTCAGTCGCGGGAACAGGTGGAGCGGAGGTGATGGGGTCTGAAACCTGTGGAGGCTCTACAACAGACGTCGACTGAGCCGTAGTGTCGTCGGCATCGTACCTAGAATTGCGGATACCGAGCGTCAGATGTCTTAAACTGGGATGATCGACGGGAGCGCCCTACAAATCGGCGAAGAGGTCTTCCTCAACATCCTCAGGTTCAGCCATTATCGCTCAGTGACTGAATTGGAGAAGCTGGGAAGCGGAAAGCGTGAGAGGAATGTTAATGTAATTTGTAGAGATAGCCAACACCGGCTGGTGAACTGGAATTGGTTCAAACGAGAGCCACTGGACTCGACCAAGGATATTATCGAATCAGGCAGTGCGGACTGCGACCAGATTTAGAAGTCCAGTGTCAGAAAAGGAAAGTAAAAGGGAGAGAGTGATGGACTGACAGAGATTTATTGAACAAGAGAAAGGACGGAGGAGGGAGGTGTAGATGAAGGAGGAGAAAGAGGAAGAGAGAGGAGAAGGAGAGGAAAGTAGGAGCGGAGGAGGTTGAACTGAGGCGAGTAAGACTGTATGGTATGTAAGTGACCACTTTATACATGTAAAATACATGTAATGTAAAGTACATTACTTCTGGTAGGTGAGTGACCTGCGGTAACCGCAATACCATGACTGATAGAGGCCATGACGGTCATGACGAAACAAAGGTCAGCAGTCCCCCCATTAATCATTATTTAGTACTTATTGTTATTACAATTGATGATCCTCTCGATCTTATGGTGTGACTTGAAAGCCTCTTTGTGTAGGTTATTACCTTTATTTGCTCCAGTCTGGCGGAATTCTACTAGTTAGTGACTACGTTGTAAACTTACTAACTACTTACTACTAAGTTAGTTACTGTATGTGCATAACTGTACGTACATACATACCTCCACGTGCCAGTGATACTTCTCTCCCCGCACTGCCTCTCCCTCCCCGACTTAGCTTTCCCTGATCACCTTCTTCCTCTTCTCAATCTTCCGACTCTTGCTTTTCTCGCCTGGTAGCCAGCTGATGATCTGTTCGATAGGCCCCGTCTTCTCTGCATAAAGAGCTTGACGCAATGGCAAGCAAAAAAGGCCAGCAGCAGGTGAGTTAGTCTTAGTCTGCTCGGTGCCGACGCTTCCCTTCCCCAGACATCTTTCGAAAGTACTATATAATTATTGGGTTGCTGACCCGATCGCTTGGTCAACTCGCTATCAGGAGATGGTCCAGGTTGGTTCGTGCCTCTTCCATACCTACTTTTATCTCGCCTACAAGATTCCCGCAACTGATCAATTTCCCTGTTGCCGTCACAGATCGCATCGAGTACGTCAGTTTCAATCCTGAGTTGGCAATCCTCAACCCAGCGAACCAATTAAGCTGTTTCCTGTCACCGCAGCTTATAGAAGGCCCACTAACCGGTGCGCGAAGGAAAAGCAATTCGCCGTTTTGGAAGGCTAGGTCGGTGTCGCATAACCAGACATCGTCCAGAACCCCGGAGTCGAATACCGTCGTTGGAGCTTCATACTCCCATGCCAATATTTCAGTGTGAGTCTCACGGCCACACGCTTTGATTGCTCCTGTTTTCTAGTGATTGATCCAAATGCATGCCCTATAGAGGCCCACAACCACATGCTCGTCCACGAACACCACCTCCAGTGACTTCCACCAGTACCCCAGATGCTACCTTGTCTCCACACCGGCCGGGTTTATGGGTCTCGTCGCCTCGCACCTCATACTCTGGCATCATGAACGGAGGACTGGAAGCTTGGGAAAGTTATCGGGCAGACGACGGAGAAGAGGAGGAAGATGAAGATGAGGAGGAGGATGTAGCCTACGATGATGATGAGGATGAATTTGGGCTCCCAAGCATTACCAGCATGCGGAGAAAGCAAAGCAGGGCTACTGCTCTCGTTCAACCTAACACCGTTGACCCCGGTGGGGGGATAGGGGATCATTTGACCCTTGGTGTTGGTCTTGGAAGCAATCGACAACGGGCAAATAGCTCTGACATTGCAGAAGAGCGTGGCGTTTCATTTTACCCTACAGCAAAGAAAGCAGAGGGTAAAATCCTACGTCCTCAGTATAAGGAAATTTTGAGAGGTTGGTTGTAGCCTAAGCGCAGACAGGTCCAAGCGCATCTGCTAATGAAATCTAGACCCTGCGCACGCTCTCAATCTTATTGATCATGCGCCACCACCAAAAAATGCGTCGCCTAAAGAAATGGACCTATATTCGAGTCGCATCTCAAGGATCAACAAATTCAAGCGTCTGCTGCAGACGAGCACTGTTCCTCTTGCGGAACTCAGGAACCTCGCGTGGTCAGGGGTCCCAGAAGAAGTGCGAGCAATGACTTGGCAATTACTACTAGGGTACTTGCCGACAAACAGTGAACGGCGCATTTCGACCCTTGAAAGGAAGCGCAAGGAATACTTGGATGGGGTTCGACAAGCTTTTGAGCGAGGCCCTTCAACCGCCGGAAACCCGTCTTCGTCCGTCACAGGGCGAGGTAGAGGGTTAGATGAAGCGGTCTGGCATCAGATTAGTATAGATGTTCCTCGCACCAGCCCTCACATCCAGCTCTACAGCTACGAGGCTACTCAACGCTCTTTAGAGAAGATACTCTACGTCTGGGCTATACGTCATCCTGCCAGCGGCTATGTCCAAGGCATCAATGACCTTGTGACTCCTTTCTGGCAAGTATTTCTTGGACTTTACGTCACCGATCTTAATGTCGAGGAAGGCATGGATCCAGGTCAATTACCTCGGAGTGTGCTGGATGCGGTGGAGGCGGACTCCTTTTGGTGTCTTACCAAACTCCTGGACGGAATTCAGGACAATTACATCTATGCTCAACCTGGGATTCACAGGCAAGTCAGAGCACTGCGTGATTTGACCATGCGGATAGACTCTACGCTGGCTAAGCATTTAGAGCAAGAGGGTGTGGAATTCATGCAATTCAGTTTTCGATGGATGAACTGCCTCCTCATGCGAGAAATGAGCGTCCAAAATACCATAAGGATGTGGGATACATATATGGTACTGCATGTCCACTTCCAAGGAGATTATGATCCTGACGTCCTTACTGATGATATGCATATAGGCTGAAGAGCAGGGCTTCTCACGCTTCCACCTCTACGTGTGTGCGGCATTTCTGGTGAAGTGGACAGATCAACTGGTGAAAATGGACTTTCAGGTGCGTTTCTGATGGGAAGAGCTGTACCAGCTCAGACCAAGCTAAGTAGAATTAGGAGATTATGATGTTCCTGCAAGCCCTACCGACGAAGGGCTGGACTGAGAAGGATATTGAACTTTTGCTAAGTGAAGCCTACATATGGCAAAGTCTTTTTCAGGACTCTCGTGCCCATCTTCGCCCGGCTGGAGATCGGTCGCCTGAGAATGGCTTTCAATGATGACTGTCGTGAATCATTAAGGAGATCTTGTTTTCGTATACACCAGAAGATACCAAGGCCCCATACGCGCTCCTTCTTGCCAGCAGTGTGTTCAGGTGAAATGGAAGCCTTTCTGGTTGAACGCCCACAACAGCTTCAAAAAATCATTCTCATCACACATCCTGGCACGTTTATCAGCGAGGCCCGTTTCTTCTTCCAGTACCTGCCGAACTTTTTCCCGAACCAGCTCTCCCACTTTTCCTCTCTTCTTTCGGCTTGGCCGACCCTTTAGCGCCTCTTGTATCCGGGCATTTTCCTGTTCCTTGAAAAAGTCCGGCACGTCATCTTCATCATCCACATCCATGACTTCTTCAGCCTCGTCCTCATCTTCCTCATCTTCCATATTGCCTGTATCCATTGCATCTGCTCCAGTCTCACCCGCTGGTCCATCCTCCACCGGAATGTCATTTTGCGCGCACCATGTCCGATAATTAGCTTCCAGCATGTCCATAACAGTGGATTTGCCCAGGAAGCTTGATCGGATTGTTTTGTTTTTTCGAACGAAAAGGATTCTTAGAAGCCCGTCCCATTCGTCATAATTGATTTGCGGCCTGGGATTTTTGGGGACTAGGCGGACTACACTGGACTCGACCAGCGGAGGTGGTTTAAAGTTGTTCTTTCCAACCTTCATGATGTGATCGATCTTGGCCCACATCTGAGCATTGACCGAGAGTCGACTGTAAAGCTTATCGCCCGGTTTGGCGAAAAGTCTCAGCGCAAACTCCCGTTGAAACATCAAGATGCAGACTCGAGGAGCTGGTGAGGTAGCGAGAAGCTTGAATGTGAGTGGGGAAGAGATCTGGTCGCAAGCAGGTTAGGGACTGGAAGAGAAAAAGATTTAGATATGAAAGCGCACCTGATAGGGAGTATTGCTAATGCAGACGTCGAAGTACGGAAGATCCGTCTTCATCACGTCTCCGAGTATAACATCCAAGCGATTCTGGGCGGGCGTCCCCTGGACACGTTTCGTGACCTCAGCAGCCATTCGAGGGTCCAGCTCAACGGCGATGACTTTCTTTGCTTTCTCGAGGATTTTTACGGTCAAGTTACCTGTTCCAGGACCGATTTCCAGCACGACCTGTGTGACGAGGTATATCGGACTTTAGATGTGCCTGGATACTGCGAATTGGACATAGCGAAGGCTTTACTCACGTCACTTTGTTTCAGCTCAGCTTTCTCAACAATTCGTTGGGCGACGCCGGGGTTTTTCAGGATATGTTGACCAAGGTCTGTGTTCATTTTGAAAATGCTGTTGGCTGCTTTAGTTTTGGCTGCAGCGTCTGCATATGGGTTGGCTTTGGAGGCGCTGTTGCGCTTCTGTTGTTTGACCTTAGGCATGGCGGTGATCAGAGGCAGCGATTACCACGGTCGGCCTTGCTGTAATATAGGTATGCAATGTAAAAAAGAGGTCTTTAAAAGAGACCTTGTGACACCCTCGGTGCTGTGCTCCACTCCGGTGTGAATAAGGCAAAAAAATCAAAGGCATTGCGGAGACTTCCAAGGTTCCTGATAAGATTACCGGGGCCGGAACAATCTAAATGCGACCGTCTCCCCGATGGCCTGTCGCAAAGCATCGATCAATATCCAGCGCCTACGTCGCTTGCCACCAACCCGTCTTCCATCAGGCCTCGCTGCGGTCTTTCAGCTTTACTTCATCCTCTTTGACGTGTGTCTCGGTCAGTATGGCCTCTGGGCGGAAAGACTTTCTGAGCCAGCCCGCCCCTGAGAACTACGTTGCGGGTCTTGGTCGCGGTGCGACCGGTTTCACCACCCGTTCAGATCTAGGACCTGCGCGTGAAGGGCCCACGCCGGAACAGATCCAGGCAGCGCTCGCGAAACGAGCGCAACAACTAGGAGCCGCGCCCCCGACTGCCTATGGAGCCGGGCGAGATAAGGGTGGCAAGGACGACAAAGCCGAAGACGAGGAGGAGGATGGGCGGTTTCAGGATCCTGACAACGAGGTGGGCTTGTTTGCCTACGGACAGTTCGATCAGGAGGATGATGAAGCCGATCGGATCTACCGGGAGGTAGATGAGAAGATGGACAAAAGACGCAAGATGCGAAGGTTAGTCGGCTGCACTCCCTCCGCGGTGTTTATCAGTTCCCCGGCGACCTCGTGTCAGGATGGACTACTGACATGGAATTTGGCTCCTACCAGAGAAGCCCGAGAGCGGCAAGAGCGAGAGGAATACGAACGCAAGAACCCCAAGATTCAGCAGCAATTTGCCGACCTAAAACGATCGCTAGCCTCCGTCTCCGAAGACGAGTGGGCGAACCTACCGGAGGTGGGAGATCTTACGGGCAAGAACAGGCGCGCGAAGCAGAATCTCCGCCAACGGTTCTATGCGGTGCCGGACAGTGTGATCGCCAGTGCAAGGGATTCGACGCAATTTGAAACAACCGTGGCAGACGACGGTGCGCAGACCAGTGCCGCCGCGGGAGCAGAGAGTGCGGATGGAACGATAACGAATTTTGCCAATATAAGTGCCGCGCGTGACAAGGTGCTACAGGTCAGACTGGATCAAGCTGCAATGGGCTCATCGGGCGACTCGGCCTCGGGAAGCGCCACCAACATCGACCCTAAGGGCTATCTTACAAGCCTCACCCAGTCGGAGCTCAAGGCGGGCGAGGTGGAAATTGGCGACATTAAACGGGTTCGCGTTCTTTTAGAATCAGTAACGAAGACGAACCCCAAGCATGCTCCCGGGTGGATAGCTCTGGCTCGTCTGGAAGAACTTGCCGGTAGAGTTGTGACGGCCCGGAATGTCATCGCCAAGGGCTGCGAATTATGCCCGAAAAGTGAAGACGCCTGGCTGGAGAACATCCGGCTCAACGAAGGACATAACGCCAAGGTTATAGCTGCAAATGCGATCAAGAACAACGACCGCTCAACAAGACTATGGATTGAGGCGATGAGACTGGAAACCGAGCCCCGGGCCAAAAAGAATGTGCTCAGACAAGCTATTCTTCACATTCCCCAGTCCGTTGTCATTTGGAAAGAGGCCGTCAACCTGGAGGAAGACCCAGCAGATGCACGTCTTCTTCTCGCAAAAGCAGTTGAAATTATACCTCTGTCAGTGGAGCTCTGGCTTGCTCTGGCGCGCCTCGAGACCCCAGAAAATGCACAGAAGGTTCTTAATGCTGCTCGAAAAGCCGTCCCTACCAGCCACGAAGTCTGGATCGCAGCCGCGAGGTTGCAGGAACAAATGGGTACATCCGAGAAGGTCAACGTGATGAAGAGGGCTGTACAGAGCTTGGCAAGAGAGAACGCGATGCTTAAGAGGGAAGAATGGGTCGCCGAGGCTGAGAAATGTGAGGAGGAGGGTGCCATTCTCACTTGCGGTGCTATTATCCGCGAGACTCTCGGATGGGGTCTCGACGAGGATGACGACCGTAAAGACATCTGGATGGAGGATGCTAAGGCTAGTATTGCCCGCGGCAAGTACGAAACAGCTAGGGCTATCTACGCCTATGCACTCCGTGTTTTCGTCAATCGCCGATCTATCTGGCTGGCGGCAGCTGACCTCGAGCGCAACCATGGTAGCAAAGAGGCACTTTGGCAGGTGCTTGAAAAGGCCGTGGAAGCCTGTCCTCAAAGCGAGGAGCTGTGGTTACAGCTTGCTAAAGAGAAATGGCAATCTGGAGAAATCGACGATGCCCGACGAGTGCTCGGCCGTGCTTTTAATCAGAACCCGAACAACGAAGATATCTGGCTGGCTGCCGTCAAATTGGAGGCGGATGCCGACCAGACAGCCCAGGCCAGAGAACTTCTTTCCACGGCCCGCCGTGAAGCAGGAACAGATCGTGTATGGGTCAAGAGTGTCGCATTTGAGCGGCAACTGGGCAACGTTGACGAGGCGCTTGACCTCGTCAACCAAGGTCTCCAACTCTACCCGAAAGCTGACAAGTTATGGATGATGAAAGGCCAGATTTACGAAGCCCAGAACAAGTATCCTCAGGCGAGGGAGGCTTATGGAACCGGTACCAGAGCGTGCCCCAAGTCGGTACCGCTCTGGCTGTTGGCCTCACGGCTGGAAGAAAAGGCCGGGGCGGTCGTCAAAGCTCGCTCGGTTCTAGACCGCGCCCGCCTTGCAGTGCCCAAGAGCCCGGAATTGTGGACCGAGAGTGTTCGCGTGGAACGACGTGCCAACAACATCGCCCAGGCTAAGGTCTTGATGGCCAAAGCCCTGCAAGAGGTCCCCACATCTGGTCTGCTATGGAGCGAAAGCATTTGGCACCTCGAGCCTCGCTCGCAGAGAAAGGCCCGCAGCTTGGAGGCTATCAAGAAGGCCGATAACGACCCGATTCTGTTCATCACGGTGGCTCGCATCTTTTGGGGGGAGCGTCGACTGGAGAAGGCAATGACCTGGTTTGAAAAGGCCATTGTCACCGACAGTGACTTGGGCGACGGGTGGGCTTGGTATTATAAGTTCCTGTTGCAGCACGGTACAGATGTACGATTAACCCCCCTTTTCTTTTTTTCTTCCCTGTTCTTTTGAGTATCTCAGAGACTGACTCGATATCGGCGTGCAGGAGAAACGAGCAGATGTCGTGGCTAAATGTAGCATGACCGAACCGAAGCACGGCGAAGTCTGGCAATCGGTATCCAAAGACCCGTCCAATGCGCACAAGTCAACAGAGGAAATTCTCAAAATGGTTGCCGACCGTCTCACTCAATGAACGGTCTTCGGCGCTTGAGCAACCCTTTCACCCCAACTCAAGTTCGGCTCTAGTGACAAGCTTACCAATAAACGCCCGAGATCGGCGTGGGAGACGCATTACGGCCACAAGCCTTATCAGTCTAACAAGCTCGTATGGTCAGCAGGGTACTCGATCGCAGCTGGCTTGAAATATCTTGAAGATCATGAGTCATTGTTATTTAATTAAAGCGGTCCCGGAATGACCTGCAATCAGGCGGTCCCAGCAGATAATGTACAGTACTTAGACAGAACAAGAACAACACCGCCAGGTCCGCAGGGTATACCCTTGCATCCACAGGCTCACAGCCATGCATAGAATGTCCAGTTCCTGTCTCCATTTATCCCAGAATTAACCAAGCAGTGGGGCCATAGAGCAGCTCGGATGTCCCCAAAACGGTCACAGTCGCCTCTCAAGTAGGCCGTAATCGGTTGGGACGTTTGATGCTCCCCTCGCGAGACTCTGTTGTAAATTGGCACAGTAGGGGATTCGAGTTGACTGCATTGGCTTCTCAGCCAAAACAAGATGATTTGTCACATTGAACAAGACTGACTGCCCGAATAGTGATCGCAGGCAAGAAAGCAAGAAAGAAGCAATATAATAAAGAAACAGGGAAACAGGGTTCAGTATAGACAAAAAACAAAACAGAAGCATCTTTGAACTCCATGCCGAATGCAGAAATGACAGGGTCGCGCGCCATAGCGGCAATCCTTAAAGACTCCCAAGACGCCTTGACGCTCCGCCAGATCCAAGATGCCGAACCCAATCTTTGGTAAATCCAGATCGAAATTTGTATGAATGTATGTGCATCACCGGGGGGGGGGGGGGGGGGGGGGGAAGGCATAAAAACGCATTGAAAGCAACGGATATCAAGCGGCTTAAGGCTGTGAAAGCAGAAAAATAAAAGAGACAGGAAGTAGAGAATGGGTTAGCGGTTGACGCAGTGTATGCACGGAGAGAAACTGGGGGTAGAGGGGAAGAGAAAGGAGGAGCGAAAGGGGGGATAATTCATGCGGCCATGGATAGACACTCATCCAACAAAGCACCCAAGTGCTCCCTATCAGCCGTTGTGCCCCCCTCCCAATCGGAGTCGATGTCGTCAATGTCCATCTCATCGGCGAAGAAATTCTGTCCGGAGTCGTCATTCGTGATCTCTACAACGTCGTCAATTGGACCATGTCTTTCTGCCTCGTGTTCATCTTCGAAATAGCCGCCCATAATCTGGTCCACAAGCAGGGGCATATGGCTGAGAACGCCGCTGCCGAGCTCTAGTGCTAGCCGCAGGTCCCGAACCCCCAGTGGCTTTCGGACACTTGCCTCCTTAGCTTCAATAGGCAATAACCCGGTTGCACTATCTTTGACAATCTCGCCTCTCGTGAATGCCAATTCTTCTCGCTCTAGTTGTTGTCGATACTTGCGCATCATCATGCCATTGATGGTTCCCGAAGGGCCGTTAGACCTGGTTCGCGAGAAAACCACTGACAAGACTTCCTTGACGAATGTCTCTGTTGCAATGGCCATATACTCCGCACAGGGTAAGCTTGCGCCACTGACTATAGACTCTTCGTAGCATATAGGAACCATGCGTGCATGGATTGATTCGGCATCTGGAAACTCGCCGGTCTCAGATGCTAGGGGTTGCGCGTAGCGTTTTCGAATTTCCAGCTCCCAATCTATCGTAAATCAGAAAAGTAAGCTTCTCATCGCAAAACAAGTAGAGTCATCCGTAAAGCATGAGACCTACTTGTCTTGTTTAACCCCCCGGCGCTGGCAGGTACCTGGCTCGGCAATTTAATCTGCTTCGCCAGGTGGTATTCGACCAGATCATTGGACGAGATATCGTTGGGATCACGCTGAGCCAGTGGAACATCACATCATGTTAGACTTGTACGATAAAATTTATATGGCGTGGTCAGCCACATATCGAGTAATTGGCTGCCTACCTCGGGTATAGCCTTAAGTCTGCGCCGGTCCCGCGGAGGCAGCTGCATGACCTCTGTTTTGAGTCTCTGTTCGGCAGCGTCCCCCGACGTCGGTTTCGACACGACTGAGGGCTTGTCATTTGCGGATACCCAACTAGCGACTCCATGGTCGGGGAGATCTCGGGTCAAGTTTCCGATAATCGCGCAGATGAAGTTATTGTGGAGGTGCTCGGTTTTTTGGTCGGCGCATATTATATGATCGACGCGCGATGACAGTTCACTTTGATTTAATTGTCCTGCTCAGCGAATGAAGACGTTAGTCTCGCGATCTGGACGGAGGCCAAGCGGAGATGTGGGGTCATATAGATACGACCGTACGAGACGGCACCTGAGAATGTGGTTGCAGAAAGCCAGAGGCCATATTTGTTCAGTGTTGGGGTCCATTTCATCATGTCGAACTCACCAAGGAGGAAAAGAGTGGTGGCCTCTTTATACTCGGCCCAGTGGTCGCCGATGGCGGCTTTGAGCTCCGTGTAGACAGGTTCAAGGTCGAGTCGCGGAACGGCGATGAGCGCCTTGGTCGACTTCTGCAGTGCTGGAGCACTGGTCGCAGAACCTTTGGACGAGGTAATTGTGGTCACTGCCGAGTCTGGCCGACTCAGGGCAGCCGGGTCGATCTGCATGACTGCGGTGCTCGCGGAAGCGCGACGGGGCACGGGGGCTGCGCGAAGCCGAGGGAGAGGGTGGGAGGGAGGAGCTAGGCCTTCATGAAGAGGCGGAACTCATCCCATTCAATCTTGATCAAGATGCGGACTGAGTTCTAGGCGATGAAATAAGACGAAAGCATGTAAGAGATTGTTGGGCGAGAGGAAGCCAAGACGCGCGATGATGGGGAAATGAACAGCGGGGGAGAGGGAGGGATGGAGAGAGTGAATAAGTGAGAGCGACGACGGAGAAGGGAAGTTGTTGGACTTCCCGACAATCCATCCGCAAACGATTAATCCAACTTACTTCTCCCCAACCAAATGTCGCAGTTGCAACATCGCAACACAACTGAAAAATTAGAAAACGATTTCATTTTTCTTTTCTTTTTTCATTTACATTGATCCTCTGCGTGGAATTCACTTTTCGAAGCTATTCTTTTCTACAATGAGGGCGCTTGTTCCTTTACCCCCCCCCCCCCCCCCCCCCCCCCCCCAAAATGTCTAAGTATACAACTTCACTGCATCCTCATCCAGAACTCCGAAAAGACGACCAACTTCCCCAAGAATGGCTTCAATTTCTCCGGACAACTGTCCAACCACCAGCACTAAGTTCAAATTTAGCCATGGTTGAGGGTGATTTCTGCAGGACAAAGGACATACCGTATGCATACAACAGAGCGTAGTCTTCGTCGGTCGACATTCGAGATGCTTCAGGGTCTTTACGATAATGAAAAAGACGCGCCAGAAGCCGATCTCGGGCGTGCTCAACGTTCGGCAGAGCATCGCTTAGAGGATACTCCAGCTTCATTGAAGAGGCCATGACTGTTTGAGGGGTTAGATGTCAGTAGTGGTCCAATGCCTCCTATGCCAATATCGGACTTTACCTGTCAGCAAATGACTGATACGATGGGAGAGCTGCTGCCTCTCCTTCACGGTGTATCGTAGAATAGATAACTCTCCCTCGGACGCCGTCATGTTTTTGACCAGTTCTAGGTTGATGGCGACGAAAGCGTCCACCATGCTGCGCGTCCGACGAAGAATATTGCCATAGCTAGCATCGGGAAAAGCACTCCTTAATTCAAACTCCGAACGAGCGGAGGCTTGCAAAGACTCCAGATGTGACAGGAATCGTTCGACTTCTAGCTTTTCCCGGGCGCTCATGAACCCCGCAGACTCCTTCGGGTTGGCCATGGTGGACAAGGGGCCACGCTTCCAGATCAAGCTCATGCGAAGCCAGAGCAGACTCAGTCCGTCTTTGAGCCTCTCACGTGCACTGATCGGCCAGATCATCCTCGTAATGATAATACCCCAGAGACAGCCTGATAGAACAGCAACCACACGATGCAGGGCAATCTCGGTGATGATGGGGCTGTCCCCTCCTTCATCTTGATCATTCCTTCCTTCTTTCTGAGCAAGTGAATAGGCGTAGAGAACCGAGAGATTATATGTTAGCATGATGAATCGACCCATTGGCCCTTGACCTCGCACGATGATGATGTAGAAGTTCCAACTAGCCATGAGCAAGCCTAGTATTGCGAGGCCAAAAACGTTTCCGTCCGTGGCATACCATGAGAGAATCGCACAACCTGCGCCCAAGCAGGTACCGAGGAACCGTGCGTATCCCGTCGTATTCGAGGCTCCGATGGTCATAGAACAGACCAACATGTACGAGAGCAGACCCCATTCGCCTCGCCAATGGCCGTAAACGGGTCGAGTGGACGGGATGAATGCAGGCAGGGCATAAAGCGCAGCGCCAGTGCCGACTTTGATCGCAAACTTGGTGTCGTCCCGGCGGAAAACCCCAAGGGAACGCCACAAACGATAGCCAAGTCTCTGTTTTGCAAGACTGATTGCGGTGGCATTGGATGACCCTCTCAAACCACCAGGCGGCTTGAGGAGGTTGGGCTCGCCTAGATGAGCTTGCTCCATTGTAACATCCAACATGTCCCTCTTTGGTCCTCCGCCGAAGGCCCAGCGCCAGAACTTGAGCCAATTCCATGATCGGCCACCGGGCCTCTCCTCGCTCTCGAGCTGTAGCTCATCCAAGATGGCGAGAAGCTCTTTCAGCTGTTCTCCAAATTCAAGCAACGAAAAACTGAAATGCCCGCAGCTGGCAGACACCTCCTCCAGGTCAGCCTCGACTTCCAGCGTCTGAATCCCGAGGACTTCTCGTTGCCGATAGATGGTCTTGAGCGCCTCTTCTCGTGAATCTCGATATAATAGTAGTGCTCTATCGAGACTCGAGCGGTATTTGCTATTGATTGATACTCGATAGTCAGATTCTGGCTTGAAAGGAATATCGCGAAATATCTCCTTCAAAGTGAACGCGAGAGATCTCTAAGGACTATTATCAGCATGCATTACGGTGGTATCATCGTTGTCAGAACCGCTTACCATTGAGGGCCCCAGGTGACTGATAAATATTGCAAAGATGTCCGCCGGGTGGAGAATTTGTTCGGGTCCAGGACTGGTACCATTCTCTGCATTGAAATCGAATCCGTCCCCGCCCGTTGCCTCCAACATCTCTTCTTCTGGTCTCTCATAGATGGGTTCCAGAAGCGGACGATCCTCATGCAATGACCAGGGACTGGGTAGCGGGCCAGCACCGAGTCCGAAATTGACATCCGACCCCTGGTGTGCAGTCTCGGTAGCTTGGGTTTGCTTGAGCAGCTGGAATTGTAAATGAGCAGCACTGCGCAAACCGCCTAGATTGTGTGTGATATCCTGGACCCAGCGGACCAGTGTCTTTTCTAGTCTGTATTCCTTTTCGGTGCCTACAACGAAATGCTCCATTTTAGCTTCGCGCACAAGCTTGTCCAGCTGACCGTACGCTTTTTTATGGCGTGCGGCGGCCTCGAGAAATTCCGCAGTCTGAAGCTCCTCTTCCGAGCCACTCAGAAAGCTCTCGGTGATCAAAGCCAACATTGTTGCCAAAGTCTCCGTGACCGTAGTGAGGTTTGACCGCAGTTGCTTTCGTGCCGAGATTGGGAAGATCAGGAAAGACACTGCCATGGAGGCCGTTACGCCCATGACCACCATCTTCAGAACTTGGGAGATCTTTGCAAATGACAAATCACCACTCTGCACTGCGCCCTCTTTTGTCAACACCGTGATGGTGGAAAGCGACGCCAACGAGCATGCGACATTCACAAGAGGGTCACCAAATCTCTGCTTCGTCCATCCAATAAAGCCCAGGCCACCTCCACAAAACACGACTAAAACAACGGCGTGACCAAGGAGAACCAGATTCAAGGTGTCTTGAAAGAACATCGAGACGAACATGCTGGTTACGGAGACAAGAGCGGCGTAAAGGAAAGCGGCAAAGGCACAAATCAAGGCCTTATACATGCTCCCCTGCGATCGCGCAGGATGGAAATACACAGTGACCGTAGCCACCATGTGTTTGCCATCTTGATGGCCCAAGAATGAGGATATAGCGGGCACGAAGGTTGCGAGGGAGCCAAGCAAATAAGCTAGACTACACTTCAAGACGCCAATCCCCAGTTCTGACGAGAGAAACTCATGCGCTTGCGGGCCAATACTCTTGATATGACCCCACAGACGCGCCGATAGACCTCTGCGAGGGGCAGCAATCTCGCCGGTCAGAAGCGTTCGGCGCTCGTCGTCTTCGCTGTTGCCATTCAAGCCGGAATCCGGATTTCGTAGATGAATAAGGCCTTTCAGTCGCTGACCAGTTCGTGGGAGGACGAAGGTCGCATATCGGAGCTAATTTCATGATGAAAAGGAAAAGGGTCAATCACCATAAGTTATGGAGGAGGATCGAAGGTGATCATCTAGATAATCATGGCTAATCATGGCTAATCGGACTATGGCTGGCTAACCTTCTTGGGGCGTAAGATGCGACGGGAGCTGTTTGATAAGTCCCCGGACCGAGACATCTTATCACTTCATGGTACTGGCGTCAAGAAGAAGCAAAATGAGCACCAGAAAAAAAAAATCAAGGTAGAAGAAACGAAGAGAGGGAAACAAGAGGACAAACAGTCGGTGTTGTGGTGGTGGGGGTGAGGAAGAGGAGGAGGAGGAGGAGAAGGAGGAGGAGGAGGAGAAGGAGGAGGAGGAGGAGAAACAGGTCTGGCAGGGCAATGGACAAGAAAGAACCAGCGCCCGGACCATACTTTCCTACTGCTAACTACCTCACTTTTTCTCTTCGTACTGTATGTATGTACTCAGTAGACCGACTGGAAAGAAGGAACAAACCAGAATGATTGGGATGATGGAACAATGAATGGGGAAGCTTGAAGAACGCCGGGCGCGGGCGGTGGAGAGCTAGCTGGTCAGCCGACCAATGGGTGGTGGGTGTTCACAACTTCACACCCACTAATCACTGCCCTGTTACAGCATAGGTACGAGTCACTAATAACTTAACTTACTCTGGGCGTCGATCCAGAACGCAACTCACAGACAGCTTATTGTATGCACAGTAACGTGTGTATATGTATGTACGGATGTATGTATGTATGTATAGAGTATGTACTGTATATATGGTTGTAGGTGTATGTGTATGTGTATGTGTATATGTATGGTATACAAAAAGAAAAGCAAAATCACAAAAAGTCTCTCAAACAAAGACTGTATAAAAGACTCTATCTATCATCATCATGCTAACTCTTCTACCTTCCACACTTTGATCGCTGCATCCGCTCCAGCCGAGGCAATCTTAGATACGCCTGCAATCCAAGCAACTCCATTCACGCCCTCTTTATGGGCATTTGTTACTTGCAGCCAGTCTCCCGGTTTCGTCAAGCTCCACACAAAGATGTTGGTATCGAGGCCTCCACTAACAACATGGGTATTGTCCTCGTTCCACGCGATGGAGGTAACTCGGGAGGTGTGCGCCGTCCAACGGTCGGTGACCAGTTGGCCATCGGCAGCCTTGTAGACCAGCACACGGCCCCGGGAATCCCCAACCGCCAGGAGAGATCCGTCCAGCGAGAATGACAAGGCCGAAATTGCGTTCCGCGATGCCTTGAACTCGGTCTTGGGGATTAACCCCTGGGCTGAGATGTCGCAGATCTGGACGGACGAGTCCTCGCCACCGATCGCAGTCAAGTTCCCATGGGCTGCAACTGTCGTCACGGCGAACTGAGGCGTGAACTCACCGGTCTTCTGCCCATCGTGATAGATCTCCACGCTCTCGGTTGTCCCTACTACCACCTTGTCCTTCGCAGCCGCGATGCCCTTAGGTTGGCCAGACAACTTGGACGAAACGCCGGTGTAGGTCTTAGCACCAAGATCAACAGAACGAATCGTGTCATCCCAAGCGACGCTGTAGATGCGTCCGGCGCCCTCCTGAGTCGGAGCAAGACCGGCAATGTAGGCTGTATGGCCGTCTCCTTCCACCTCTTCCGCAGTTCCCGTCGGAACATCCCAATGGCAAACCCTTCCATCAAAGCTGCCCGACCATAATGTTTCCGTGTCGCTGCCAGAGCGAAACTGAGTCAGGGACGTGATGTTCTTCTGATGGCCCTGGATCACCTGCCGCGGCTGGGGAGTGCCTTCCACCAGGTAGTTCAGATCCCCGCTCAACGAGAGACTGATGAGCAGGTTATCACTTCTGGCCGGAGGCCACACCACCCCAACTTGCTGATTTCGGACGTTTGACATTCCTTCTTCTCCAATATCCCAGCTCTGGGTAACCTTACCCGCTTCCACATCCCAGATCTTCACGGTCCTGTCAGCGCTAGCAGTCACGAACTTGCGCGAATCTCTAGCCCACGAGACAGCGAATATGCTTCCTTTGTGCTCTCCTTCTCCAATTTGACCTCTCGGCTCGCCAGTCTTGCCATCGTAGAGCCAGATCTTCCGGTCAGCACCGACACTGACAAGGGTCGAGCCGTCAGGGCTGAAGCCAACACCATAAATATAATTGGTGTGCTTGTCTCGGATACCTGTGTTGAACTTGAATGGCGCGCCGTGGTAGAAGACGAGGTTTTTATCGTCACCGGCGGCCGCCGCTCGCAGCGGTCTTTGTTGCCTGATAGAGACGGAGTTGATTTGTTGTGTGTGTCCGTAGATCTCGCCGACCGTGTTACCACTGTCCCAGGTGATACAGTGCCCATATCGCTGCTTGCCGTCACCAACCGCAATGATGCGCTGGGAGTCGCCGTCCCAGGCAAGGTCGTTAATGCGGCCGTTCACAATGCTGTATTCACCCTTGGTGAGGCCGTCTCCGACACAGTCCCAAACACGCACAATACCGGTCGCATCACCACTTGCCACATAGAAGCCGGAAGGGGAGAAACGGGCGACTGTTGTCTGGGCCTTGTGTTCTGTGTACTGCCTGGCGATCGCGGGGTTGTCGATGGAGCGCAAGAAGATGGACTTGTTGGCCTGTGCAGCGTACCAACAAAGCATTCATCAGCGCCCGCACATCGTCTCTATTGCCAATGTCTGATTAGAACATACCGCATATGCAAGTCGTTCACCCTTGGCGTCCGACGAGAGCTGGGTGGGCTGGCCCCTCGTGGTGGTGGGGTTCGCAGCCCAGATCGATTCTATGGAGTTAATAGTCAGCCGAGGGGCACGGCAGCATAGACAACAGGATCGAGATAGGGCAGACCATTAGTGATTGACATGGCTGATCCAGCAGACAATATCAGTGACTAGGTGGTAGAAGAAGGGAGGTTCTGAATTCAAAGGGCAACACAGATGGAGAGAGGAGGGAGTAAGTAGGAGAAAGATGGAACGAGAAGAAGGGGGGG